CAAGGAAAGTCAAATCGCATCGGGAGGGTGCAATCCGCGCCTAGGGAAGCGCAAACCGCATTGGAAGAATGCGATCCGCGCGAGGGCAAAATTATCGCCTCGTCCCTGGAGCCTGCAATCTGATGGGTATAAATACCCCCCCTTCCCTTCTCATTTCTTCACACCACAACCCATTCTTCCTTCTCTCTCTAGGTTTTATCTCTCTAAACCCTCCCCCTCCCCCTCCCCCTCCCAAAAGCCTAGGAAATAGTGGTCTGTTGGTTGCGGCAAAGTCTGGTATGCCATCAGAAAACATTTCTTAGATTTTTTTCTCAAAACCCGCCGAGCCAAAGCTCTGTCCGAATTGCGCCGAAAAAATGGCCGATTGGTGGCAAGGAGAAGGAGTTTTTGTAGATGAATTTCAAGCGGTACGTACTCATTATTCGGGTTTAATTTTTGTTGTTGTTATCTTGATTTTTAATTAATCTATGTACTAACCTCGTTGTTAATTTCTCGTAGGCTGCGGAGGACGTGGATATTTACAACCAACGGTATTATCTCGAGCAAGGACCGTTGGATCCAACCGACTTGTACGACCAACCCAACCATCGGTCAAGGGATGTTTGGAACGCTCACCCGGTACATACAATTCTTTACCATTTGTCCTTCTTTTATTTTGTTAATGTATTTAGTGGAATATAAAATAAATTTATGTTGAATTTTTAATCGTGTTGGTTGTTTTCAATAATTTAATTGAATACATAGCGCCACTTACTTCGACTCTTTATAAAGAGATGCACGTCTAAGGAAGTGGGGTTTTAAGCGATTATCATATCCTCCCATTCCCTGGGAAAATCGGGTATTAAGAGATCCTCGGATCCCCCCTTTTTCTGTCAACAAGACTGCGTTTCTAAGAAGATGTATACCTCTTCTAAGAGTCTAACGAGTGTTGCTTTGTATTCGATTAGATTATTTAAAACAACCAAAACGATTAAATAATTTACCAAACAGTCCTTACGATTTATTTTTATGTGTACAAATGGAATTTTATTAATTTCAAACAATTGAATATGTATGTTTCTCTTTAAAATATTGATTCATTAACAATGTCATTTAATTTAGTTAATTTAGTATGTTTATTTTACGATAATATGTATGTATCTATTTAAATTATTATTCATTTAGAATGTTATTATGTTAATTAATTTAGGATGTTCGTTTTATGATAATATGTATGTATCTCTTTAAATTATTATTAATTTAGAATGCTATTATGTTAATTATATGAAATATCTTTTTATGATAATAAAATTCTGCTTGAAGTTAAATAATTTAATTTAATTAATTTAGTTATAAGGAATAAACCCTTACTAATATATAATAATTAACGTGTAAATTTTCCCTAGGAGGCACAAACAATAATCCGCTACAGGGGTACGACCAATGTGCTCCCATTCCACCCAGCTATCTTGCCCTTTCTCAAAAGGGCACGATTGGACTCGATTAGGCATTTTAACGGCATCAAAGTTGATTGCCAACTCATCACCGCCCTAGTTGAGAGATGGAGAAGGGAGACCCATTGCTTCAACTTTAGAGAAGGAGAGGCCACCATCACACTAAAGGATGTCGCCATCCTAACCCATCTCCCCATCGACGGCAAACCGGTGTGCGTGAGTGATCATCCCCCCGACGATGTCGACGGTATGCCCGGTTGGGTTCATTTCATCTATAGTGTTTTGGGAGTAAAAGTACCAGTGAAGGGGTGCGTTGATGCGACCGATCGCTTGCCACCAATGAGGAAGCACCAAGTGTCAATTACTTGGTTGACGAAGTACTTTAGAGAGCATTACGAGAGTCATCCCCTAACCGAGGAAAGTCTGGAGGATGAGAAGGAGAGATATGCTCGGGTCTATCTCATTGGCATGATCGGAGGAGTGTTCTTCTCCAAAAAAGCAAGCAATCTCCTTAGTTGTGGATGGCTTAGGGTCATCCTCGGTAGTTGGGAGGAGATGGGGGAGTATAGTTGGGCATCCGCTTGCCTAGCTAATATCTACCACAACTTGTGCAATGCCTCTCTAAAAGCTGCGAGGGAGGTCGGCGGCGCAATGTTCATCGTCCAATTTTGGGCTTGGGAGCATATGCCATGGATTGCACCGGTACAACGTCCCGACCAGGATTGGCCAATCGATCATCCCCTAAGAGGGGAAGCTTATGGAACAAGGTAAACTTCCCATACCCATCATGTTTTTTCTTGGTTGATTTTCCCTTGTGTTTTAGCTTATTGTAATTTCGATTATTGTTTTATTAATAAGGTGGCTCGGACACACAACTTGTGACAACCTTGCCCAACACAAGTTGGATGAGCATCGGAGGAGGTTGAGCGACTTTGGGAAGGAGAGGTAACTTCTATACTTCGATCCATTTATACCTTTTTACCATGGAAGACATGTATTTTTCCAATTCTTACTATCTTAATTTACTCATTTTGCGCGTGTAGATCATCTTCGATCCATACCCGGAGAACATCGTCAATTGGCATCTCCAGCAATTCCCCGAGCATATCGGCCAATGGTGCACGAGGGTCCCTCTAATTTGTTTTGGGACCGTGGAGTGGCACTTGCCGGATCGATGCCTCCGTCAGTTTGGGAGGGAGCAGTGCATTCCGTTGGAGGTCCCCGAAAGTCAAAGGGCCTTCCATGGTCGAGATGGGCGGCAAGGTACTCGAGATTGGCCCTTGAAGTTGGAGAAATTCATCACCATGTGGGCGAACGGACAAGGGCAAGATATTGTCACTCCATCAGCAGTGGGTCGAATGGGGTATCATGACCCATACTTGTATCCATATCGGCAAACATCGGTCCGTTACATGACTCCGGAGGGTGCTGCCGATGGTGCATTAGTAAGTATATTCCACTCTACATAATTAAATGTATTGTTTTGGTTCCTAAATTGTTTCCTAACTTATTGTTTTGTGATTTAGGCTGACGGGATTGAGCGGATTAAAGACATTACCACCGGGGGTTAAGTTAATATCATAAAAATCAAAAATAAAAATTAACAATACAAAGTAATACTAAATCAACTTACGAGTTAACGTTAATCACAAAACTACTAAAGAAATATGTAATACTAAATCAACTTACGAGTTAACGTTAATCGCAAAACTACTAAAGAAATATAGAGCTACATCAACTTACGAGTTAACGTTAATCGCAAAACTACTAAAGAAATATGTAATACTAAATCAACTTACGAGTAAACGTTAATCGCAAAACTACTAAAGAAATATAGAGCTACATCAACTTACGAGTAAACGTTAATTGCAAAACTACTAAAGAAATATAGAGCTACAACAGAAAATTGAAAAGGGAAGGGAGAAGGAGAGGTGTGAAGAGAAGTGGTTGTCCGGGAGGCCTTTTATAGGCAAAATCACTGATGAAAACCGCACCTTAGAGGTGCGATTTTCGTATGCCATGCAGGCCCATGCAGACCCACGTCTGTTACGTCTGCATGGCATGTCGGAAATTGATTGACCAAAATCGCACCTTCAAGGTGCGGTTTGTACGTTAAAATCGCATCCTCATGGTGCGATTTATTCTGGCAGAAACAAATCGCATCTCGGCCATGCGATTTTAATAGGTCAGACCTAAAATCGCACCTCGGCCATGCGATTTCAGTAGGTCAAAGATAAATCGCTTGGCTAAAGTGCGATTTTAGTCCAGATAATGGGAACACACCTTACCAGTGCGATCTATTTGTAAAACGCACTCTTAGGGTGCGATTTATATGTAAAACGCATCTACAAGGTGCGTTCTATTAAAAAGGGTGCTATTAGTGTAAATTTTTACAGATGTGTGCTATTTTTGTAATTTTTTTTAAAGGTACTATTTCTGGAAAAATCCCCGGTATACGTGCCCGCCAAAAACATTCTTTTCCAATTGGCCCCAAATTCCAATTTCAATTCCAAATCCTAACGAGACAAAAAACCATTCTTTTCCACTTCTCCTCCCCGTTCCTCCAGTCCAGGGATAAGACCCAATCGTCGATCCCTTACCGCTTTCAAACAAAATTAGTGGCGTTTGTTTTTCATTTCTCCTTCAAAATTTTCTTCCCTTGTCGATTTCCTGGCAACAATAATGCAAAATGGGAGCGACCCACGTCACAGCTGACGCTTGCTATTCTACAGCTGATTCTTCAGAATACTGCTGCCCACATGATACCAATCTTCGTCTTATTCGTTGCTCACCTTTTCCTTCGTTTTGTAGTACTATTAGTGAAGTATTATTGTTGACTTGTTGTGACCGTGATGATATCTATATATTATCTGCCTTTGGAGCCATCCATGCAAAGCGAAGTGCACAACTTCACTATCTCCGCCACTGCTTTCACTTCAGACAGGCCATAGCTTTCTGGAAAGTTTCCAGGATTTGGAAAAGTGTCGATCTTGATTCCTTGGAGGTAGAGTTGTTGGTTGGCGATTCGTTACTTTCAAAATTGTTGTCGTTCTTTTGCTGCTGCCACCTGCCAGCCTCTTTTTCTCGTGTGTTTGTCGAGCGAGGAGAATCAGATTGTTTTATGTAGTCTTTGTGTTTCCTGACTAAAGCTGAAAAAGTTTTGATTTTTGCTAAGCAATTCGGCTATTGTCATCTGGGCTTTTCGGTTTACTTGTATTTTGTTCTTAATTTTAGCAGTGTAATCTCACTTTGTACGAGTTTGAGTGCCTGAGGATTATATAAGAGAGGTCTGTTAATTTGTACTTGCTGGATCATATTGTGAACTGAAACATATACCGTTCTTTGGTGTTTCGATTCTGGTGCTTTTCTTAATCGTTCTGCTAAACTAATTGATGTATTTCTTGAACTGTCTGAAATTCCAATGCTTGACATTTATGAATCATATGTTTGTGTTCTGCCCTCGGGAACCAAAATGGGGTCGTAGATTCAAAGGTTTCCAGTGTTCTTTGAAATTAGATATGTTCTGATCTCAGCAACCTTATCATTCTTGTAGGGCTGTGGAGCTAGATGGCTTCTTGGGAGCCGCTGGTTTGGTACTGTAAACCAGTGGCCAATGGAGTATGGGCAAAAGAACTGGACACCGCATTTGGAGCGTACACCCCTTGTGCCATTGACTCCCTAGTGATTTGTGTATCTTATTTGGCACTCTTCGGGCTATGCATCTACCGGATATGGTTGATAAAGGATCCAAAAGCTCAAAAGTACTGTCTAAGGACAAAGTACTACAACTACATACTGGGACTGCTTGCTGCTTATTGTACAGTTGAGCCTATGTTCAGACTGGTGATGGATATTTCACCATTTAACCTGGATGGGGAGACCGGCGTTGCTCCCTTTGAGGTGAGACTCATTTTTGTTAATATAGGTTCAATGACTTGTATGTACGCACTTCAAGTTTAAATGTATAACCGTGTCATTGATTTGTTCATCTGAATTTATGGCCATAAAAGATTATCCAGCACTTTCAAATTAGAACCCAATATAAAAACCCAATTCACTTCAGCAGTGCGCTTTTGTGCCTTTAGTTATGTGATAATTTGGTGCTGACTGTGATACTCGGCAATCAGAACAGCAGTATGAGAAAACTGGCGAACCTGTATAACTACCGAGTTAGACGTTATGAATATATCATCTCTTTACTAAAGTCTCCCAACCAAATACTGCTTTGTTATTCTGCATGTTCAGATGGTTTCTTCGGTCGTTGAAGCTCTCTCCTGGTGCTCCATGCTCATTATGATTAGCTTGGAAATTAAAATATACATTCGGAAGTTCCGATGGTATGTGAGGTTTGGAGTCCTTTATGTTTTGATAGCGGAATGCGTAGTGCTAAATCTCATTCTTCCAGTGAGTGCTAATGCCGCCAGGTGAGGTTCACTTCATGAGTAAGCTCTACATTTTCATCTTTAGTTAGAGATTAAAGATGCTTATTAAGGGAACCACGGTGACTGTTGATTTTCATGCAGAGTGGCCTTCTACATGTCTGTGGGCACGTTTATATGCAAGGTTTGTGCTCTCCTTTGCATACGTATTGGTTTCCGCTTGGTCTTCTGTTTCTTCTCCTTGTCTAGCCTGTGTTGTACATACCTGTGTCCTCTATATAGAGCTCGATACTAAGTTGGCTATTGCTATCCAATTGTGCAGTAAGTTATTATTCCTGTGGTATGCACATTCAGTTATTACCATCCTTATTGTTCATTTTAGGCCTTGCAGATGAAACTAGTAGCTTGTTATTATTTGTGGCCAGTTTCTGCTGGCTGGCAGAGAAAAATGGTGAACAATAAGAGTGAAGATAGGCTATAGACAGAAACACTGGTTCTCTCACTATTGGAACACATTGAGGGCCCTTAGCATAACAGCAGTGAACTTTATTCAAGCCATTTGATCGATACACAATATTGCTTATGCCCTTTTCGCATGAAATATTCCGCTTGTTTTCCGTTTCTTTTCATCATTAATTTTATATCATCCATATAAAAAAAGTTCCTTTTTCATCTCTCTGAACAATGTAACTGTGGTTCGTAAGCACATTCCATTGCTACAGGTTTTATTCGGAATTCTTCTTCTGTTTCATTTGCCCACATTGGATCCATATCCTGGTTATGTTATGCTGGAACCTGAGACCATTGACAATGGCGAGTATGAGGCCCTCCCTGGAGAAGAGCAAATTTGTCCAGAGAGGCACGTGAATATCTTTTCCCGTAAGTGCCCCTTGTTCGGTTGGTTTGCTGGCAAATGAATAAAATTCGTGGACTTCACAGCTACTCACTGATAGCTGTTGATTTGATTTCTATGTGTCAGGTATATATTTTGGATGGATGACCTCACTTATGCGGCAAGGCTACCATAAACCCATCAGTGAAAAGGATGTCTGGAAATTAGATGCATGGGATCAGACTGAAACACTGATTAATAAGTTAGTAGTTTGTTTGTTTCTCTTCAGTGTTTTAGTGTGCAAAATGTCTGCCACTTGCATAATGTTGTCTAACAGTCCAACTTGGTAGGTTTCAGAAATGCTGGATTGAAGAATCTAAAAAGAAAAACCCATGGCTGTTAAGAGCTCTAAATAATAGCCTTGGAGCAAGGTATGAAGTTACCTGTTTTCATCACCTTCCATAATTTTATTCTGAGCTCAATTTGATCTAGGGAAAATCAGTAAGTGACTACTCTGGTGCCTTTTAATTTGTGCTTTTCTTCCTCTCAATTTATTTTATGAATCCACTCATATTTCTGTAGGTTTTGGCTGGGAGGACTATTTAAGGTAATAGGCTCAGCCCACACTTCTTTTTCCCTGACTGTCCGATGCTGCCAAATCTGTTTTGTGTTTTATAAAATTTGTAAGAAAATGATGCTCTGCTTTGGTGTCTGGTGGAGTGGATGCTTCTAAGTTTCCATCAACATCACAACTGACATGGAACTTATGAACTTTCTGAACTTTATGTAGATTGGCAACGATCTTTCTCAATTTGTGGGGCCTGTTATCTTGAACCAGCTATTACAGGTTTGACTTCTCTTTTAAGGTGCCAGTTGTACTATGTCTTGTACATGCTTGATTTACTAGCAAATTTGAAGGCTTTATATATACTGCATGGGTATATTTGTGCTATTCATGAAACAAGAATGATGGTCAAACCTGCTACCAGGATTCCTCAAGGAATGCTAGCTTCTTAGCTCATTAATTTCTTTAGTTCGGCATTAAATACTAAGAATGAATATAACCCGAATAGTAAGAAAGGATTATTTGTTCTATCTGTTCTATCTTTTTTTTAATAGTAAGAAAGGATTGAAGCATTGGTTTGCTAAATCGACATGTAATCTTCTTGTATCATGGGTTCAAATCCCATTTCGAGAAAAAGAACCTCTTGATGGAGTCCCCAGAATAGCACAACTTAGTAACTAGGTGATAAGCTATCTTGGCTATAGGAATTCACCTAGGAAGATGTTTCAAATTCTAGAACTTGAGGGTATTGAAAGAACTGAAAATTCTGGTTTCTTCCTGTTAGTGGAATAACTGAGGAAAATATGCCTTTTGTGGGTCACAGCAGTTTTTGAACGTGGACCATCGGGGAAAATGAGAATTCGTTTGAGGAAGACTTTGGGAACAAATGTTAATTTATTATTCAGCTCTGACGTGAATTTGACTCTAGCATCGTCTTCCTTGCGATGTTTATGACAGAATTGTTGAGTTCCTATGTTCCTTTTTGCAGTCAATGCAGCGTGGGGATCCTGCTTGGATTGGTTATGCTTATGCTTTCTCAATTTTTATTGGTGTGGTATGGATTCTATCTCATACTTCATTAACAATATCATAAGTTGGCTACTACATGTCTAGCACAACGCTTTTGTTGCTGACAAGTACATTACATAAAAGGGCCAAACTATGAAATTTTCCATATACATCTTCATTACTGGCTATATCTCCAATTTTTGTCAGCTTATGCTGCTACTGGGTCATGTGATATAGTCCTTATGTAATCATGTCAAGTCCTTTCTTTTTTCATGAATTCAGAACTAATTTAGGAAAATTGTCTAGGCATAAGATGAAAACCAAATTAACATAATTGGAGCAGGTAGGAAGACTATGAAGTTGTACTGCATGGAACCTGAAATAACTATATGAATTACTGGCTCTAATAGTGGGTTAAGTCGTGAAAAGTTGAAAGAATGCTTTTCTTCTCTGAGATCACAAAACCAACCAACCCCATGTATCTGAAGCCATGCCAATACAGATACTGAAGTGATGTCTACTTTGATCAGCCTTCTCTGATGTCAGCTATGTTATGCTTCTATTTGAGATGTTAAGGCTGTAGGGCCATTAAGGTTGATAATGGGGCTTTATTATGTTATTATTATTGGTTTATTCACTTTATGTTTCTATGATGTTGCATTTTGTAAATAATTTGGGCTTTGAATGTGTGGCTCACAGATCTCTTTTTTGTTGCTTGCTTTTCTGCTTTAATTCAGTCAATCGGGGTGCTTTGTGAATCCCAGTACTTTCAGAATGTGATGCGCATTGGATTTCGCTTGAGATCAACTCTGGTATGGTTTCCGATTTGTCATATTGTATGGGTTTTATTATCAGCATGAAGTGTAGATTCTTGGGCTTTCTTGTTTTTATTTTCGATCCATGGATGGATCTGTATTTAGCTGCCTCAGAAATCCTCTGAGCCTACTTGGAAGTTGGTGCTTTCCCAAATGAGAATTTGGGATCCATTCATTGATGGAGCATCATCCTTTCGTAATGCAGGTGGCTGCCATATTCCGTAAATCGTTGAGACTAACTCATGAGGCCCGCAAGAACTTCCCAACTGGGAAGATCACAAATATGATCACGACAGATGCCAATACAATCCAGGTATGTTCAATTTGGTACTCGAATTGTGAACTATTGGACAGAATAGTGAAAGGCCGAATCATCAAGCAATCAACATGGCTAAATTGGAATTTCTATTTTGATTGTGACATTTCAGCAAGTATGCCAACAACTTCATAATCTGTGGTCAGCGCCATTCAGAATCACCTTGTCTATGATACTTCTCTACCAGCAATTGGGTGTTGCTTCTCTCCTTGGATCGTTACTCCTCATTCTCATGATCCCTGTACAGGTAATCCGGTGATTTATTTTAATCCTGGAATGATGGGGTACCCTCAAAGGTTATTTCTTCAAATGCCTGGTTTAACTTGTCTATTAACGTTATCACTAAACACCAACAGACAGCTGTGATTAGCAAAATGAGAAAACTAACCAAGGAAGGTTTGCAAAGGACGGATAGGAGAGTCAGCCTCATGAATGAAATCCTTGCAGCAATGGAGACTGTCAAGTATGTTCTTTTAATTAATCTTCTAAATGCATCATTAGATTAAAGACAGTTTGCTGATTTGCTCTCACAAAAAAATACATTTTTTCAGATGTTATGCTTGGGAGAAAAGCTTCCAGAATAGAGTTCAAGGCCTACGGGATGATGAGCTGTCATGGTTTCGCAGGGCCCAGTTGCTTGCTGCTGTATGGCCCACACACACTCTTACCACTTATTTCAGCTTGCATTTCCTCCGAGCATAGAATTTGTTAGTTGATATATTGTACACAAACTAAATGGTTTTGATTTGTTGCCTTCTACTGCAGTTCAATAGTTTTCTGCTCAACAGCATGCCAGTTGTTGTGACATTGGTTTCATTTGGAACTTTCACCTTACTCGGCGGAGACTTGACACCTGCTAGGGCATTTACATCACTCTCTCTGTTTCAAGTGTTACGGTTTCCTTTGAACATGCTTCCTAACTTATTAAGCGCGGTCAGTCCTTTTCTTTTCACTGTCCGTGCCTTACCTTCTTTCGACTTTGGTACTCTGGATTGGCACTTTGGTTTTTGATCAAAGAGCAAACCAACATTTCATCTTTATGGTGATAATCATACTCTAAATTCACTAGGCCATGTCAATTACTATTAACATTTATTCTTGCTCACTGAACATGTCGAATGCAAGTGAGTAGGAGAAATAGATGCATCTTCTTCTGGGCTCCTATATGCAAGTATGTTTGGTCATCTCAAGATTCTGAACTATCTTAACCTTTTGAAGGTTGTTACTGCAAATGTCTCAGTCCAACGGTTGGAGGAACTATTTATGGCAGAAGAGAGAACTCTGGAATTGAATCCACCGCTTGAGGCAGAACTTCCTGCCATCTCTATCAAGGATGGACATTTTTCGTGGGATTCAAAGGTCGATCTCTTGTTTTATTACCTAAAACTTCGGTCACTATCAGTGAATTGCTGGCTATTATTGTGTTATTTATTTCCATCGAATAGGCATTTTTCAATTATGTAATGATACAACATAAAAGCAAATTTCCATCGAGTAGAAGCCAAACACATTGGAAATTGTTAGTAAGTGATCCAGGTTTATGGATCACAACCTTTTGACACCTGAACTTGGTTATCGGGCCTTTCAGTTTAGGTTGAGATAACAAATAGAAGCAAAACTTATTGCTATTCTCAGCTTTCTAGAATTTTTCTTCTAGCCCTGAGCTTCCATGTAGTTGTTTTTCTCAGTACAAAAATTTCACTTACTGAATGACGTAGTCCATCCCCCATACTAGCAATGGGGTTCTAGAGTAGACTTGCCTTGGGGAAAAGACTGCAAGAGGGTTATAGTTACTGGATCATCTATGGATGTTACAGACTGGCTCAGTACATCAAGTAGAACTCCAGCTGACCATCTTCTTGATCTTCCTGAGTAAGGCTACGCATCAGTGACTGATAGGAAAAAAGAAAAACAGATGGCACCATGTCTAACCTTTGATTTTCTTAGTTACTTGTTAGGATTACATGCTTAGTTTCGTCAAGCTTCTGTGGCTTTGAGGTCGTGCCCTTACCCTCTGCTTTCTACAGGCAGAGAGGCCTACATTGTCAAATATAAATCTAGATATACCAGCTGGAAGCTTAGTTGCAATAGTTGGTGGAACTGGAGAAGGAAAGACGTCGCTTATCTCAGCAATGCTTGGGGAACTGCCTGCTGTAGCCAATACTAGTGTTGCGATTAGAGGAACTGTCGCTTATGTTCCTCAAGTTTCTTGGATTTTCAATGCTACTGTGAGTTGTACCCTCCTTGCTTCTTTGATTATCAGTATCTGTTTATTGCAAGCACTAACGTTAATCTGTTCATTGTTCCAGCTGCGAGAGAACATATTGTTTGGATCTACATATGAACCTGAGCGATACTGGAGAACAATTGATGTGTCTGCCTTACATCATGATCTCGACATACTTCCTGTTAAGTGAATTTTCAAAACGTGTTCTCCTATTTTGCAAATGCCCTTTGGAATGGATGGCCTAGATTAACATCCTATTATTTCTTCTCAGGGCCACGATCTCACAGAGATAGGAGCAAGAGGAGTGAATATCAGTGGTGGTCAAAAGCAAAGGGTTTCGATAGCTAGGGCTGTGTATTCGAATTCAGACGTATACATATTTGATGACCCTTTAAGTGCCCTAGATGCTCACGTTGGTCGCCAGGTAAGATTTAAACATCATGATTCCTCTCACCTTGTTTTTTTTATGGAAATTCCTCTCATATTGTTGGACAGCTATGAAGCTTGACAATGTATTTCTTGATATTTTTGTTCTCTACAGGTATTCAACAAATGCATCAAGGAAGAGTTGCAAGGAAAGACTAGGGTTCTTGTGACGAACCAGCTACATTTTCTTCCGCATGTGGATAAGATCATTGTTGTGAGCGAAAGAACTGTTAAGGAGGAGGGAACCTTCGAGGAGCTATCCAAAAGTGGCACATTATTCCAAAAGTTGATGGAGAATGCTGGGAAGACGGAAGAAATGCAAGAAGAACAGGAGGTGCACGAAGAAGAGCTGGACAGCACAAATGTTGAGCATGGAAGGTCAAATCCCACTAATGGAGTTCATGAGTTGACACAGAATACAGGATATAATAGTAAGAGTGGGAAAAGAGGGAAGTCAGTGCTAATAAAGCAAGAGGAAAGGGAGACTGGCATTGTTAGTTGGAAAGTATTGGACAGGTGAAAGTTAAATTGCTATACATACATATACATATATATATATATATATGGTGGCGTATTCAGTGCACCCACTTATTTGGGTACACTCAGCGCACCCACCTCATAATCATCATTCTGAGCATGCGATTCATGTAAAAATGGTATCAATTGTTGCTTATGATATTATGAACAATAAGCCCATGAATTTAAAAAAAAATCATTTAAGATTTACTTTAATTTGAAGGATTTAGTATTTAGGGGTTTAGGGTTAAGGTTTAGGTTTACAGTTTGAGATTTTGCATTAGGATTCAAAATTGAAGGTTAAGGGGTTAGGGTAATAGATTGATTTGTTATGATTCTATGTCATATCATCATGTTAGATTGAGAGTACTAATTAAAGTTCAAAATTTGATGTATTATGAACACTTTTAGAAATGGGTGCACTGAGTGCACCCAAAAAAGTGAGTGCACCGAAGTAGCCACCATATATATATATATATTTATATACACTGGAATAAATGTGTCTTTGTAAATTGATATTATTTTCTCCATGGCATGTTACTCAATTTGCATGTTGTTATTGCATATACACAAGATAATGTCAGAAGAGTGAAAAATTACTTGTGAGACCTACTCTTCTAACGTGCATTTTCAAATACTTTCTATACTCCAAGTATTTGATATTGCATTGTTTCGATGCATTTGAGATTGCATGTGCATAAAAAATGTGAACAAAAAACGATATTTGTTCAATTGCATGTTATTGTATCCAACCGAATGACTTCTAAAGTTATATACCTACCTCTACCAATAAGATGATTAGTTTTGATTTTGGTTGACTGAGGTGACAGATATTTCACTCACAGATCAAAGCATGTATGCTAATGTTTGGTTTTGCTTACAGGTACACAACTGCATTAGGGGGTATGCTGGTGGTTATGGTATTGTTCACATGCTACACATTAACTGAAGTTCTTCGAATTTCAAGCAGTCAATGGTTAAGCATTTGGACGAACCACAGCGATTCAGAAAGCTACAATCTTCCATTTTTCCTCTCGGTTTATGCACTTCTGTCACTGGGCCAGGTTTGTCAATAACTTTTCATTAACATAGTTCTTTTACCCAGTATTATAAGTCCATTTCCATGGTGTGGCTCGTCCCAAGTCTAGAAGGGGAGAATTATTTCCAACCATCCCTTGTGTCGTTTCCTTTTCTGTATCAGGTAAGCGTTACACTGGGAAACTCTTATTGGTTGATCACTTCAAGTCTACGTGCCGCCAAAAGACTCCATGATTCTATGCTAGCAACCCTCCTACGAGCTCCTATGCTGTTCTTCCACACCAACCCACTTGGCAGGGTAATTAACAGGTTTGCAAAGGATCTTGGGGAAATAGATCGCAATGTTGCCGGTTTTGCCAACAATTTTCTGAACCAAGTCTGGCAGCTCCTTTCCACATTTGCCTTAATAGGCATCGTGAGCACTCTGTCTTTGTGGGCCGTAATGCCTCTTCTCATCTTGTTTTATTCAGCCTATTTATTCTATCAGGTAATTTCGGCATCCTTCCTTCAAATGTGTTTATATTTTGCTCTGTATAATTTCGACCAATTAAATGATCGGTTTTTCTTAGGCCAACAAAGAACCCAGATTCCTCGTTTGATTTCATTTCTGTAAAAAGAAATCAGACGAGGCTAGAATTTCATGGTTTACACTGAAAGTATAATTTGAACATTTGATTTATAGACTCTGCTGAAAAGTATTTATATAGATGATTCTCTTTTTGTAGATTGCAACATATAAAACTTTGGTTCAATCAAATCAACTAATAAGGCAAACACATCAAGTCATGCGGATTCAATAAATAACGATACAATCCAATGACTATATTAAACCAAATGATTTGAAGCCGTGCTGAGAGTTATACCGGAAATTTTAGTTGTAACGTATTTGTATTAACACATTTGTCCCTTGCTAATTCATGCTATTATGAGTTACATTTGCAAATTGCAACACTGTTGGTTGAGTTCATTTGAGCGTGAAAGTTTTGCTATAAAAGTGAAAGAAGACATGTAGGACGATCCACTTTTCTGTCTTGCATTTTCAAATACTTTTGCTAGCCTTTGAGATTGCATGCGTATACATCAATAGTGTCAATGAAAAACAATACTTTTTGAGGTTACTGTGTGCTATTACAAAATGCACTTTTCTGTAAAAACCCATCCTCCTGCCAGAAATGTCAATAACTGCAGCCCTATGCAATTTGCAGACCACTTCCCGTGAAGTGAAACGCTTGGATTCCATAACCAGATCCCCAGTTTATGCACAATTCGGAGAAGCACTAAATGGCCTGTCCAGCATTCGTGCGTACAAGGCCTATGATCGGATTGCCGATATCAACGGCAAAACAATGGACAACAACATCAGATTCACCCTTGTGAACATCAGTTCCAATCGCTGGCTCACCATAAGACTGGAGACGCTGGGAGGAGTCATGATCTGGTTAATAGCCACCTTCGCAGTCTTGGAGAATCAAAAAGCCGAAAACAGGATTGCATTCGCTTCTACCATGGGCCTACTGCTGACTTACACTCTCAACATTACCAGTTTGTTGAGCGGTGTGCTGAGGTCGGCGAGTCGAGCCGAGAATAGCTTCAATGCTGTTGAGCGTGTGGGCGAATACATGGAGTTGCCCTCAGAGGCTCCGGCAGTTATCGAGAGCAATCGTCCACCACCTGGATGGCCTTCATCAGGTTCAATCAAGTTCTCAGATGTTGTCCTGCGTTACAGGCCAGAACTTCCACCGGTGTTGCATGGATTATCGTTTGCGGTTGCTCCGAGTGAGAAGCTTGGCGTGGTTGGAAGAACTGGAGCGGGGAAGTCCAGCATGCTTAATGCATTGTTCAGAATTGTGGAGGCTGAGAGGGGAGAGATCGTGATTGATGGATGTAATGTTGGGAAAATTGGGCTCATGGATCTTCGGAAAGTTCTTACTATCATACCACAAGCACCGGTTCTTTTCTCTGGTAAGCAACCTGTACAGTCCAAACTGCCCCTTTAATACAGTTAGTACTCTGCACCATGTATAAGCTTGTCGATCATTCTAACTTCCAGCGATTTCTTTTACGTATTGCTGGACATCACTCATTGCTGATGACCTTATTGTCATTACTGGCACGATCAGTACCCTATGGGTCGCACTTAGAATCACCATCTAAGTACTAAAGGGTCCATAGACAAATTCATTTCCTGGTTGGAGTAGGATCATAATTAGATTCAAAGATCTAAGTATGACTCCTAATCAGACTAGGAATAGTTTTCCTTAATTGGATTAGGAATTTGAGTCCTAGTAGATTTAAGAATCCTTATCTCATTTGGAAATTAGTGTGACTTTAAGTGGGTTATCCTAAGCAGATTAGGAAAGTATAATATGAAGGATGCCGTAAGAGAAATCAACAACACTCAATCCCCTAATAATATGCCACCCGGCCAAAGGCCGGGCAAAGAGCTAGTATGATAAGAAGTACTTATCCTCTTTTATTTTTTACAGGAACTGTGAGAATGAATCTGGATCCATTTAGTGAACATAATGATGCAGACCTCTGGGAGGCACTGGAAAGGGCACATCTAAAGGATGTGATAAGGAGCAATGCTTTGGGTCTGGATGCTGAGGTATAATTCAAAATCAATACAGAAAATGGGCAGGTCCTTTTATCCAATCAAATTATAGTCACAGAATAGTACTAAACCACAAGATTATAACGATAAATCTGGAAATACAGAAAGGTCATAGAACTAGGGGTCTGCTATATGCTACTGACATTAAAATCCCTGTTCTGTAAAGGTTCTGGAGGGAGGAGAGAACTTCAGTGTTGGACAGAGACAGCTATTGAGTTTAGCTCGAGCATTGCTACGGAGATCGAAAATTCTTGTACTTGATGAAGCAACTGCTGCTGTTGATGTGAGAACTGATGCACTCATACAGAAAACAATCAGAGAAGAGTTCAAGTCCTGCACAATGCTTGTAATTGCTCACAGATTGAATACTATCATTGACTGCGACAAAATTCTCGTGCTTGATGATGGCCGGGTAAGCTCTCACATCAAGAACTTCTATTCTCTATACAGCCTATTTGGATAGCCTAAACTCCTCCGGAAATGGTTTATGTTTGGAAAACCTACAGGAAGTGTGGACTTCAGTTTGCGGAAATGGAATTAGTGATCTCACTAAGATTTAATATTGATTTATCTCCACACTATCTTCTCTCTCTTTTTCACATTTTCTTTTCCCCAGGACATAAGTAGCATACTAAAGTATAATTCATAATAGTCGTGAGAAGAAATTATATACACAATCACAAGAATGGAAAATGGACTTCAGGAAAATAAGAGATGGCAATGGATTTTCACATCCATTTCTGATGGAATCCTATCCCAACATTCTATAATAAAGAAATCTGTATTAGATTTAAGGATTTTTTTTAGGGTAGAGTTAAGAACCTTTTATGTATCCATTCGTTTAGGTAAAAGAGCATGCTAGTCCGGAGGAACTGCTTTCAAACGTAGAGAGTGCGTTCTACAAGATGGTGCAGAGTACTGGATCAGCAAATGCTCAATATCTAAGCAGCTTGGTATTTGAAGCCAAAGAGAGCAAGTTCAACGGCAATGGAAACACCAAGAACCTAGATGGGCAGAGGAAATGGCTTGCTTCCTCGAGATGGACAGCTGCTGCTCAGTTTGCACTAGGTGTTAGTCTCACTTCTTCAACAAATGACCTTCAGAGTTTAGTTGTTGGAGATCGCAACGACATTCTCAGGAGGACGAAAGATGCTGTCTTAACCCTTCAGGGAGTGCTGCAAGGGAAGCATGACGAAGTAATAGATGATACTCTCCAGCAACATGATCTCCCCAGAGAAAGATGGTGGTCGACTCTCTACAGAATAGTTGAAGGTAACAACAGATAGCATTCTGCAGATACATTATTTTGGTCAGAATAGTGCATCTGACAGTTCATATCTGATCCATACCCTTGTTTTGTTTATCTTTATCAGGTCTAGCGATGATGAGCAGGCTGGCTAAGAACAGGAATCCAGTTTCAGCATACGAATTAGAGAACGAACCATTGGACTGGGACAATGAGGAAAACTAGAACGGAGCAAGAAAAATGGTTGTTTTGACATTTTTTGGACTAGATTGTTCCAAATTGATAATTGATAAGAGTAGATGTTGAGGTATGCCACATGAACAGATGTATAATACAAATTGTAATGGAAATTTCGAGCAGTGGGCTACCTGTACTTCGTTGATTATAATAGTTTTTACACTGATGATTAGTGAAAATGTTTCCAGTGGATTTTCACTCAATATATGAGTCGAAGGCTGCAGAGAACACTCACGAGTTCCAGCTTGATATATCACTCTTGGTTTATGGAGTTTTCAGGTGGATCACATTGAACTTCTTGTTTGCCCTGGTGGGTTCGAACAGCTCCAAATGCCTGTACAGAAGCACCCGAAAATTTCATAAACCCCTGGAATACAAGTGTGAGGCTAGTTTTCAGGTTGTTCAGAGTCATCGCTCGAGTAACCTGGACCGAGTTCAGATACTCGGCCTTCTCAGTCTCGGCTCTCTTCCTTGATTCTTCAGTTTTGACAAGTTCAACAGACAATGGCTGCTTAGGGCTCAGATAGGGAGTTGCATCATCCCTCTCTTTCCAATAAATTCTCAATATTCACCGGTATTCTCGCTTTTTCAGTTAAAGGTAAACATCACTTGATAATAAAATTAGAATTTTATTTTCAATAAATTATACCAATCGTAATTACCAAATAATGAATTTTTTAAATTTTAATAATTAGAAAATTAAAATGTTTAGAATCTAGAAATTTGGATTTCAAAGAGTTAAAATCATTTAAGAGTACTGTTCCTTAAAGAAAAAATGGAGGACTTTGTTCACTTGAAAGGCCTAGGTCTCTGTGGCCGCTTCTATTGTAAGCTCATGTACACAACTTTGAACTGACTAAGCTAGACCGTTGATCAACACCTTGGACTGGCCGATTGTGACCGTTGGATCCTTGTCCTTAGTTCAAGTTCCTTCTCCGTTCATCTGCTGACTGCTACCGAGCCCCGTCGATCTTCCCGTATCTCTTCTCTAATTCGCTTTACCCTTCTTCAGCAATCGGATCCCTGGAAAATCCAGCTATTCTCGATCTCTCCTTCCACCTCTCCTTTCTTCTTCAGCTTAAAAGTCCCAGCTATTTTCCATTTCTTCTTCGATTCAATTGAAGCCGGCATGGGCGAATCGAGGTCGATTTCGTTTCGTCATCTGGGGAAATCGAATCCCCCGTCGCCGCCTCCGCAACCCATCTCCGTCTTCCCCAGACACCATACTCCATATCTTCTCTTTTCCTATAGAATCAAAATCGACCATCTCGCACAGCACGAGGTGGCGATGGCAAGACGTCCGGCGCGAAATGGTTCCTATTTCTCTTATTTGGTTCGTGGTTCCTATTTCTTCTTCCATTTCGCCTCACCTCTAACCCTAAAGTCCAATCGAGCTTTCCAACCGCCAAACTCTCAGACTCTGTCTTCCCTCTCTGAGCTACAGTCAATATTCATGCCTCACATGGCTTGCCTTGCCCTTTTGATCTTGGTGAGTTTTTATGTTTACCTTTGTAGCTCTCCTTGCAAAATTGTTCGTTGTTGATCGGTCTTTGGCTCTGTTTCAAATGTGATATACGAGATTATGTGGAACAAGTTAGATGGAAAATTGGTGTGCTACAGTGGATGGAGAGAATGGATGTGGTGTCAGTTAGATGGAAAATTAATGGCGGATGGCAATTAATGGTGTGGTATGGTCGGTAGAAATTGATGGTGTGGTGTGTTATGATAATAATCATCATTTGTTGCTCTCCTATTCCCTCGTTTTGTAATAGGTCTAGTAGTAAAGTAATGATCTTGACTTTTGCCATGATGGTCTATATATTTTATCTGCCTGTGGAGCAATCCATGCAAAATAAAGGACACAAGGTCACGCTCGGCTCTCCACCACTGCTTTCATTTCAGACAGACCACAGTCCCCCTGAAACATTCTGGAAGTGTCGGTCTGGATTCCTTGGAGGTATGGTTTCTGCCCCTTTTCCTGTATTCAACTGTTGGTTGTCGATTCATTACTTTCAAAAAGGTTGTTGTTCGTTTTGCTGCTGCCAGCCATTTTTCTTGAGCTTCTGTTGTGTTGAGAGCAAAGTGCACAAGCTCAGGCTCTCCCCAACTGTTTTCATTTCAGACAGGCCACAGTCCCTCTGAAGCATTCTGCAAACTTTTCAGGATCTGAATATTTGTCGATCTTGATTCCTTCGAGGTATGTTTCTGTCCGTTTTCCTGTATTGAATTGTTGGTTGTCAATTCATTACTTTCAAAAATGTTGTGGTCCGTTTGCTTCTGCCAGCCATTCTCTTATCGTGGTGCTAACTAATAAATGTGTTTCTTGAATTAACTTGGTTTCTGGAATTCCAATGCTTAAAAATATGAATCATATGATTGCGATCTGTCTTCGAAAACCAAAATGGGGAATGGATTCAAAGTTTTCATTGTTCCTTGGAAATTGGATACGTTCTGACTCTCAACCATTTTTCATTCTTGCAGGGCTGTGGGGAAGATGGCTTCTTGGGAGCTGCTGGTTTGGTATTGTAAACCAGTGGCCAATAGAGTATCTGCAAAAGAACTAGACACCACGTTTGGAGCATACACCCCTTGTGCCATTGACTCTCTGGTGATTTGTTTATCTTATTCGGTGCTCTGTGGGCTGTGCTTCTACCGGATGTGGTTGATTAAGGATCCGAAAGCTGAAAAGTACCGTCTAAGGACAAATTACTACAACTACATACTAGGATTGTTTGCTGCTTATTGCACAGCTGAGCCTATATTCAGGCTGCTAATGGATATTTCATTCTTTGACCTGGAGGGCGAGACTGGTGTTGCTCCCTTTGAGGTGAGGCTCTTATTTGTTAAAAATGTTCTCTGACTTGTTATCTATGCACTTCAAATTTAAAGTATACGTGTGCCCTTGAATTGTTGGCATTTGAATTTATGGCCATAGAAGGTTATCCAGCACTTTCAAATGAGAATCTAATTCAACCCCCAATTCACTGCAATGTTGCACTTTTCTGCCTTTAGTTATGGTATAAGTTGGTGCCGACCATCATACTTCTTGGTAATCAAGATACGAGCCTAATAAAATTGGTGAACCGGTATAACTATCGAGTAAGCTGTAGGTTATGAATGTATCATGTCTTCAAAAACATGTACTAGCCAAATAATGTTCTATAATTTTGCATGTTGTTCTATGTGGCTTTCAGATGGCTTCTTTGGTCATTGAGGCCCTCTGCTGGTGCTCCATGCTCATTATGATTAGCTTGGAAATCAAAATATATGTCCAGAAGTTCCGATGGTATGTGAGATTTGGAGTCATTTATGTGTTGATAGCGGAATGCGTATTGCTAAATTTCATCCTGCCAGTGAGTGATAAAGCCACCAGGTCAGATGGTATTCTGTTCACGTTGTTAGTAAGCTCTATACTTTTTTAAATTTTCTGAAGTAAACAATTAAATATTAAAGATGCCTACTAAGGGGACCACGATGACTGAGGATTTTCATGCAGATTGCCCTTCTACATGTGTGTGGGCACGTTTATATGCAAGGTGTGTGCTCTCCTTTGTAGAGGTGTTGGTTACCATTTGGTCTTCTGTTTTTCTCCCTTATCTAGCCTGTTGTACATTTGCGTGTCCTTTAAATATAGGTCGGTACTAAGTTGACTATTTCTGTCCAACTGTGCAGCAAATAAGTCATTATTCATGTGGCATGTTCATTCAGTTATCACCATCCTTATTGTTTATTATAGGCCTTGCAGCATGAAACTACTAGCTTGTTATTGGTGGCAGCTTCTACCGATTGCAGAAATAAACCATGAACAATAAGAATGAGGATAGGCTATCGACCCAAGAAAAATGAAGATAGGCTATAGACAGAAACACTGGTTACCTTCACTACTGGAACACATTGTGGGGCCTTACTATAACAGTAGTTAGCCAAGCCATTTGATTGATACACAATATGCTTATGTTCTTTTCGTATGGATCTTTTCATTTTCGGTTTGGCCAAATAATTCCCTTTTCACCTTTCTGAAAAATCTGTGTTACCATATTCCATTGCAACAGGTTTTATTCGGAATTCTTCTTTTGTTTCATGTGCCCACCTTGGATCCATTCCCTGGTTATGCTATGTTGGAACCTGAGTCCAATGGCAATGGTGAGTATGAGGCCCTCCCTGGAGAAGAGCAGGTTTGTCCTGAGAGGCACGCAAATATCTTCACATCTACTCACCAATAGCTGTTGATTTCATCGCTGTGTCAGGTATATATTTTGGATGGATGACCTCACTTATGCGGCAAGGCTACCAGAAACCCATCACTGAAAAGGATGTCTGGAAATTAGACGCATGGGATCAGACTGAAACACTGATTAATAAGTTTGTAGTTTGTTTGTTTCCCTTCACTGTTTTAGTGTGCAAAATGCCTGCCACTTGCATATGTTGTCTAAAAGTCCAACTTTGGCAGATTCCAGAAATGCTGGATTGAAGAATCTGAAAAGAAAAACCCATGGCTGTTAAGAGCTCTAAATAATAGCGTTGGAGTAAGATATGAATTTACCCTCTTCACTTTTTTAAAGTTCTTCTGAGCTCCCTTCTACCATGGGAAATCTGGGGCTTCTTTCCTCCCAATTTGTTTTATGAATCCACTCATGTTTCTGTAGGCTTTGGCTGGGAGGACTATTTAAGGTAATAGAGCTCATCCCACACTTATTTTCCTGAATATTGGATGCTGCCAATTTTGTTTATGTTCTCTAGAATTTGCATGAGCATGATGTTTCTGAACCAAGTCTGGCTGCTCCTTTCCACATTTGCCTTGATAGCCATCATCAGCACTCTGTCTTTGTGGGCTGTAATGCCATCTTTCATCTTGTTTTATTCTGCCTATCTATACTATCAGGCAAGCTCTACTTCCTTCAAATGTCTGTATGTTTTCATTGAATTATATGATCTAGGTTTCTAGGGGATGGTTATGGTATTCCGATTTGAAATATTATTTTGATGTATTTGAGATGGGATATGCAGTTTCAAACAAACTCAAATATGTCAAAGAAAAACGATATATTTTTTCAATCCCATATGATTTCTTATGCATCCAGCCAATGCAGTCAAAATCCCGATTCTATATAGAAGTATTTTGATGACCTAAAAGTGTAAAAACGTAAGCTTTTAAGCTTTAAAGCGTAGATTTTAACTGCACGTGTAGTGAAAAACGTGATTCGTCATAGAAACGTTTTAGTGACATAGAAGTGTAAGAGCGTAAGCTTTCAATTTTTTAAGCACAATTTTGACTACATTGCACCCAATCTAACGACCTGCTAGAGAAATGTCAATAACTGCAGTTGTATGCATTTTGCAGACAACATCCCGTGAAGTGCAACGCCTGGAGTCCATAACCAGATCACCTGTATATGCACAGTTCGGAGAAGCACTCAATGGCCTGTCCAGCATCCATGCATACAAGGCCTATGATCGGATGGCCGACATCAATGGCAAAGCAATGGACAACAACACGAGATTCACCCTCGTCATCATCAGCTCCCATCGCTGGCTCACCATAAGAGTGGAAACACTGGGAGCAGTCATGATCTGGTTGATAGCCACTTTCGCTGTCTTGGAGAATCAAAAGGCCAAAAACAGGATTGCATTTGCGTCTACCACGGGCCTACTGTTGACCTACGCTCTGAACATCACCAGCCTGTTGAGAGCAGCTCTGAGGCAGGCTAGCCGAGCTGAGAACAGCTTCAATGCTGTAGAGTGCGTGGGTGCTTACATGGAGTTGCCCTCAGAGGCTCCTGCTGTTATCGAGAGCAATCGTCCACCATCTGGTTGGCCCTCATCAGGATCGATCGAGTTTTCGGATGTGTCCTGCGTTATAGGGCAGAAATTCCACCAGTGTTGCATGGACTGTCGTTTGTAGTTGCTCCCAGTGAGAAGCTTGGTGTGGTTGGGAGAACTGGAGCAGGGAAGTCCAGCATGCTGAATGCATTGTTCAGAATTGTGGAGGTGGGAGGGGAGAGATCGTGATTGATGGATGTGATGTTGGGAAAATTGGGCTCATGGATCTTAGGAAAGTTGTTACTATCATACCACAAGTACCAGTTATTTTCTCTGGTAAGCAATCTGAACAGTCCAAACTGGCCCTTCTCATACAGTTATCAGTCTGCACTACATTTAATGTTGTCTAGACATGTTGTCTATAGCCTTATTGTCAGTACCAACATGATGAGAGCCCTGCTGAAAGTGACATTTTGGAATCGCTGTCTTAGAATCGTACAAAAGGCACTATAACTGAATTCATTTCCTTGTTAGACAAGGATTCATAATTTGATCCGAAGATCTAAGTCTGACTTCTACTCTGACTGGGATTAGTTTTCCTTAAGTGGATAAGGAATCCGAGTCCTAGTACGGTTATGTCCTTATCCAATTTTGAAATTGTATGACTTAGGTTATCATAAGTTCGGATTAGAAAATTTCTAACATCGTCAGAAGTCCTAATTGTTCTTTTCTTCTTCATTTTTTCTTCTTTTTTTGGGGTTACAGGAACTGTGAGACTAAATCTGGATCCATTTAGTGAACATAATGATGCAGAACTCTGGGAGGCACTGGAAAGGGCACATATAAAGGATGTCATAAGGAGCAATCCTTTTGGGCTGGATGCTGAGGTATAATACCAAAACAATATGGCAGGTGTCTATCAGAGAATATTATTTAAGTTTTGAATCTGCAAATAGAGAAAAGTTATTAAACTGGGGTATGCTATATGCTAATAAACTATCTACTGACCTTAAATGTTGGTTGTCTAAAGGTTCTGGAGGGAGGAGAGAACTTCAGTGTTGGACAGAGACAATTATTGAGTCTTGCTCGTGCATTGTTGCTCGATAGTATTGGCTATAATTCCCCGCTGCTTAATAGTTATGGCTAATATATTGTATTTACCCTAAAATTAAGCATCTCCTGTGCATTCCACTTATTCAGGTAAAAGAGCATGCAACTCCAGAGGAACTGCTGTCGAATGAAGAGAGTGCATTCTACAAGATGATGCTCAGTACTGGATCAGCCAATGCTCAATACTAGCTCAACTTTGTGTTTGAAAGTACCAAGAGAGCAACAAGGTTAACTGGAATGAAAAGATCAAGAACCTAGAGACACAAAGGAAATAGATTTCTTCCTTGAGATAGACAGTTGCTGCTTAGTTTGCATTAGCCGTTAGTCTCACTTCTTCAACAAATGATCTTCAAAGTTTGGTTTCCAGAGATGCAATGACATTCTCTGGGGGAACGATGAGCAGGCTGGCTAGAACAGGAATCCAGTTTCAGCATACGAATTAGAGAATGGGCCCCTGGACTGGGACACTAACGAAAACTAGAATGCAGCAAGAAAAATGGTTTCTTTGACACTTACTAGACTAGATTGTTACAACTTCATAGTTGATTGAATGAACGTAGACGCGTACCCTATGAACAGATGTGTAATGTAATGGAAGTTTTGAGCAGTGGGCTGTCACCAAACTATCTGGTCTTCATTGATTATACTAGTTTTTACATAATGGAAGAGTTTCCAATGGATTTCTACACTCAATATATGGCTTGAAGGCTTCTGCAAAGAACATTCATGAACTCTGGCTCACTATATCACCCTTGGTTCATGGAGTTTTCAGGTGGATCACATTGAACTTCTGGTTTATCCTGGTGGGTTCGAACAGCTCGAAGTGCCTGGACAGAAGCCCCTGAGAACTTTGTTAACGCCTGGAATACAAGTGGGAGGCTAGTTTTCAGGTTGTTCAGAGTCATGGCTCGGGTGACCTGGACTGAGTTCAAATATTTGGCCTTCTCAATCTCAGCTCTCTTCTTTGAGTCTTCAGTTTTGACAAGTTTAACAGACAAAGGGTGCTTAGGGCTCAGATTGGGAGTTGCATCATCTCCATCAGGAATACTCCAGTCAAATCTCTTCTGCATTTCAGCAAGTGACATCAGTTCTTTCTGCAGCCTTCTCTCCAACTTCTCCGATTTTCTTTGCAGGCTCAGTTCCTCTGCCTGCTGCTGCATTATCGCTTGGATGGCTGATAAAAAGCCCTTTATGGCCTCTGATGCCACCTGCAGAAAGGGCTTGATCAGAAGGGCAGAAACAGCTTTTCTTGAAGTATTTTTTTCACCTTCCTAATAGCCGTCAGGAGCCCACCACTAAACGAATTACAGAGGGTGTGTTTAGTTCAACTTTACTAATCAAGAGCGCAAGTTGGTTAAAATTGAAAGTTTAGAAGCTTGTTTGTTAGTCGAGACAAAGTACAAGGGGCCTGAATGCTACACAACCTCTTTGAAACACTTATGCAATTGAAGACTTGCTAGAGGTGGTTACCTTGTCAGGCATTTTGTCAAAACCGAGTTTCCATTCTTCACAAAGCTTGTGAACAGCAGGTGATTGAGCACTTGGTGGTTGTTGGTCATTCACAAGGCAGCTAGTGAGTTGGATCCACCTGCATAGGGTCGTCACGTATTCCTCTTGGGATCGCACAAGTCTGCAGAAGCTGTGGTACCATGAGATAATCTCGGCCTCGAGCTGAGCTGTTGCTTGGCGATGGAACTCGGTTGCTGATTCCACCCCTTGATTATCGTTCAGGTGATTCATTTGTTGGGAGATGTGATTCTGAACTTGATGACATGCATACATTGTCCTCCACATGCTCTTCAGCCTGGTGAAACAAAATCAAATCGAAAGATTGTATCATCAAATCAGTACTTCATTGCACATTGTTCAGAGAAATTAGTATCTCTGACGAGCACTGATTATTACCCAGCAACTAGTGCAATGAGTTGAGGGTACAGCTCCACATCAATGAGTTCCAATATGCAAGAACAACCTCCACTTATAGAATGTTGCAGTCTTCTTAAGTCCGACTCCAACTCTTCAACACTTGATCTAATCTTTTCCGTCTTGTTCCAATCATGATTCTCTTGTTCTAGTTTTGCTAGAAAAATGGACTTCTTCTTAAACTCCAATTTGGTTATCTCTTCTTCCTACACAGAATGAATAATCACCAAAAAGCCACATGAAAACACACCATTAAGAGACCATTTTATTGCCTTGTCGATATCATAAACGTTTGCGCATACCTTAACTTCCTTGTAAAGTTTCTGCTCTGCAGCATAAAGCTTCTCAAGGGTAATGCAGTGAGCTCCAGGTTTGCAAGGTTCACTACTACTAAAGACCTCAGTAAAGTCCCTAGGTGGCTGTAATGACCTAGAAGACCAGCTCCATGACAATGCACTGAACACCTTAGCAGAATTGCTCCTCTTCCCTATACAATAATAATGAAAAAAAGGGTTAGCATAAGCTCCCAAGTCCCAATGACAAAATTCGATTAGTGGGGCTGGATTTTATAAGGAGCTGGCATGCTTACATTTGTTTTCTCTGGAACTATGTGAGATAGAAGTGTCCCCTCTGGAGATATCCATAAGAATAGCTATTTCCTTCCCGCCAGCTGATGCTTTGAGGAAATAGTCATCTAAATCTCTCACAATAGCCTCCAGTGTCTTCCTGCGCCTCCACTGAACCATACTCATATCGGAAGTGTCCTTCGTCTGCCAGCTCGTCATGGATGAGTTATCATCAACCAATTCCACAGGAAGACGACGACAATGCTGCTGCTGTCTCGGCTGCTGCTGACTTGGAACCGTATTACTGGGACCTGCCGCCCCACTCACTTCCTCTCCTCCATGTTCTTCCTCATCAAACTCGGTCTTGGTCTCAGCCCAAGTCTCCTCCTCCATTGCTGATTCCACTATCTCGCCACTCTCCTCGTGAAGCGGCAAAGAATGAGGTTCAAGGAAGGGATCCCAATAGTTCCACGATGATGAGCTCTCAGGAGGAGGTGGAGGAGTTCCTCCTCTATCGCCCTCATCATCAATTGCCATGCTCTCTTCGTGAGAAGCTAAGTGGTCAGTAGTAACTTCTTGTTCTTGTTCTTCTTTTGGGTTATTATCACTGCTGGACTTCCTTGAATCAGGACTGAAAGGGAGTGGTGGTGGGGAAGGAGGCAACTGGAGTGGTGGCGATGGAGGCAGTGCCAAGCCAATGCCATAGGAGGTGCTCTCAGTATCCAATGACTCAGATTCAGTGAACTGCCTAAGGGTCACACCCGTGTTCCTGAGTGCTCTCAAGTAAGCCAGTAGAGAATCAGCAAATTCACTTCTGAATCCCACCAACTGTCTCATCAGCTTCCTTCTCTCTTTACAAATCCTAACTCTTTCTTCCTCATCAATCCTTGATGCCACACAACCCATCTTTTTTGGGTATTTGAAGAGATTCCTGAATATTATTGAACCTTCAAAATACAACCCAAGGATGGAAAGGAATACTTGGAGAAAACCTCCCTTTTCCCCTTAGTTATGAATCTTAGATAGAAAGTACCTCAGTGCAAAAAGAAAATAAAACCTAACCGGCTAACTGAGCTATTCACAGTTTTAGCATGCCATTTTAGCAAACAAGTGTGGGACTTGAAGGGGGAAAGAAAGGGAGAAGAATCCCTCTTGAAGAAGAGACCAATGGGCTCCAAAACAACCTCTAATTTACAGATTAACAACACAAAATAAAATTTCCAAGTGGGTTTTGCAGTTCTAAAGAAGAGAAGCAGTGTGCATTAGAGCTGCATGGATTTGAGTAGCTCCAAGAGAAAAAAACCAGAGAGATCCAAGGTGAAAACTTCTCACCCTCTCAAGTTAGAGAAAATGGTGTAGCCAACTGTTAAAAAGATCCAAACTTTCTCACTTCCAGCTTGATCCCAACATTCTATACCCTCCCATCTACTCCATTTCCCAGCTGTTCAACTTCAAAAGAGGACAGAGCACCAGAGACCCAGAATCGCCGCTGCTGCAAAACCAGGAGCATGGAAGAGAGTGAGTAGTGAGTTAAACAAATGAAACGTCATGGTCTCAAGAGAGGGAGAAATCAGAGATAGAGTGGTAAATGGTAATGGAAAGGATAATAAGGGAGGAGAAGAGACAGGAAAACAAGGAGAACTGACATGGAAACTGGTGAAAGGAAGCAGGGAAAGAAGAGAATGTGATTTTTAGAGGCTAATGTAATGTTGGTCTCTTTCTCTCTCTGTGTACTGCTCTCCTGCTCAATTAATAATAAACAAATTCACATGCTCATCCGTTTTCTCCTTTTGTTCAACTTTGCTGAGTAGATATGAAGGTGGCTGGAGAACGAAGAAGAAGAAGCAAGAAGGGCACGGAAAGGGAAGAAGAGAAAGACGAAAAAGAGAAGACGCAACTCAGCAAGGCAAGGCAAGAGTAATCAAACGAAAATAATGTTAGTGGTGAAACTAGAAAGCAATCTTGTTTAGTTCTTCAAAAAGATGCAGCCGCGAGTGGAATCCAAAGCAGCCATGGAAAGCAAAAAGGGTGTAGTTTGCTGAAAAGGTGTCGTATTTCTTGCATTGACCCACACAACAACCTGCTCTTTTAGTCCCACCACTACTTATTCCGAATCTTAGCAACGAAGTCTAAAATGAAATGTCTAATAATCAGTTTAATCCCCTAGTATATTCACGACAGCAACGTCGAAGGTGACCAAAACAATCTTCAGCAGACGGTTTTCGAAAGAAAGAAGAAAAAGATTGCACATAATATGGCAAAATAAATTTTCTTAGAGGTGGTTATGGTCTTATGGACGTTCAAGGTTGTTTCTCCATCTAATTTTTTATTTAAGAATATAAAATAAAAGTTGCATATATTTTGTATCTTACTGACAGGAATGGTAATGGGCAGGTCTGGGGCGGATATCTCGATACCCATACTCGCCCCGTGACAGATCGGTTCCAGGTCGGGTAATTTATCACGGGACGCGGGTCGGGGCAGGTCGACCCAATGGGTATCTAATTTATGTGAAAACTATTAGAAATATTTGTTATTTTCATTATAAGATCAAGAAAGAAACCATAATACGATGATATGTAGTTAAATTATTGAAGAAATTAAGGTTTACACTTATTTACAAGTTTATTATATCTAAAATATGAGGTAATAAGAGGAAAATCCTAAATAATTTGACTAAGATTACATGTAATTTAGGCAAGAACGGGTAAAGAATGGGGCGGGTCGGGCAGGTCAGGTAGATGAGAGGTACCCATGCCCTCCCCGCCCCGCCTACGGGGCGGGTCGGACCCGCCCAAAATAGGCCAAACAAGTTGAATAAAACGGGTCAGGTCGAAATTACCATCACTACTTACTGTTCCTGTTTTGAGATATATATGACAAAATTAAATCGACCGAAATTTGTATTTAAGTTGGTTGGAAAATTCGAGGTTTAAAAACATTGGTTTCAAGATACTGTATTTGGCAATGGTAAGTACCTATTTACAATCAGAAAATGCGTGTCACTCGTATTTACTATGAAATAAAAAATAATGTGATGTTCCACCTAGCCCAATATGAATACTTTTTTTTTCATTTTGATTGTCATTACTCATTATATGAGTTTTTTTTTCTCAATACGGATTAGGCTTAATTGCAAGTTTGGTCACTCGAATTGCTACAAAATTTCACGTTTGCCACTCAAATTAATTAATTCCATTTATAGTCACTTAAATTAGGTTAACAGTCCAAGTTTGGTCACTGGCCGTTAGTCTCCGTTAACTTTTGCTGATGTGGCGGTCAACTCTTATAGTTGACCGTTAAATGTGTGACATGGCAATTAAAAAATTATAAAAAATAAAAAATAATATTTTTATAATTTCCACCTCATTTTCAAAACTATTAAAAAATAAAAAATAAAATTTTTATTTCCTCTGGTAGGCGTCGGCGACCAAGCTGCACCACTTCCGCATTGGCCGCCTGAACCTGTCGCCGCTGCCGTCCTCGCTGGTGCGGGCGAGTACTCAGAGGGCGACACTTCTTATTCCCGCCGAGTTGGCTTAGAAGAAACGTGGTTAGACTCGAGAACCGATTCTCGCCACACCTGTCTATTGATCAGTCTCCGTCAACTAGGGTTGGTTGTGAGGATGAAGTAGGAAAGACAGAGGAATCTATGGTGGTTTTCGTTCTGATAATCGGAATCGATGGCCTATGGGGGTACGTTTGCGAAAGAGTTGAAAAAGCTTCTTTTCTTTATTCTACCATCTAATAAAAAATGACAACCATTCTGGTTTCACCACCAACATTTTGCGCAGAAGAAAGCTCTGCTTTAGAACCATCCCGTGAATCAAGAGCTCCGCAAACCGAATTAAATACAAGTATGGCAACATCGAAAACGAATCAGGGAAGCTCCATCGCGCTTCCGACAACAGAAATTCAGGGGTTAATGAAAATTTGCAAATTTGTCGGTGCGAGAGAGGGAGCACTTAATCTTTTACCTGTGGAAGCCTGGATTTTGAAGCATGGATCCCTGTTCGTATGGCCCTGCTTCCCTTTCCAATTGGGGCTCAATTCCATTTCAACCCTCACTCATCTAGCGTCCTGAAGCTGCGGGTGCCTCAGGAGGATCACTCACTCTCTGGCGGTCGGTGGGGCCGAGATCGCCGCCACCGCTAACATCGTGTCGTTGAGTGTGGATTCGGGGAGTCGGACGAAGCTGGTTGGCCAGCAGAACCGGAGATTGTAGCAGCCGAATATCTGGCCTTGCCGGCGTCGGGGATCTGGAGGCGATGAGGAATCGATACTTCAGGGTGGGAGGGTTTCGAGGCGGAGGTAGAGCCGTCGGGGTTGATCCGGCGCCAGTTCTTGCAATGTGGTGGAAATTATTTTTTAATTATTGTGACATTTTTAATTATTTTTTAATTTATTGTAATAATGAGGTGGAAATTATTAAAAATTAATTTTTTAATTGCCACGTCATGCATTTAACGGTCAACTATAAGAGTTGACCGCCACATCAGCAAAAGTTAACGGAGACTAACGGCCAGTGACCAAACTTGGACTGTTAACCTAATTAAGTGACTATAAATGGAATTAATTAATTTGAGTGGCAAACGTGAAATTTTATAGCAATTCGAGTGACCAAACTTGCAATTAAGCCATACGGATTAGAAAGACTTAATCTAGAGTATCACTGAAAGCTCTTAGTCTCTCCGTGTTCTTCCATCTTTTCCTTCCTTTTCCCACCTTTCCATCTTGCGAAAAGCTAGAACGCACAAGCTCACCGGATTTTCTGCACTTTTCTTAATAGCATGGTTTAGTCTGGAAAGAGTATTGTAATTAAAGTAATGGTACTATTCCTGATTGCATGTTTCTGGGCCTCAACTACAAATACAAAGCCCAGAAGTGCCCATTCACTGCTGCCAGGTCAATTATTGATCAATGCAAACTCTAGGGGCTGCAAATGGAGGAGCTATCTTGGAAGAAATTTGTGGTTAGCTGGTTTCACTTATTGTCTTGTTATTGTCGTCTCGTATGTTTTAGGAATTTGACTTCGCTAGTTAGTTACTTTGCTAATTAGTTACTAATGCATTGATTATATGTCTATTTGATCCAGATTGTTACAGATCCTAAGATATAACTAGTTATAGGTCCGGTCAGCTGGCCACACACAGTGGTCAATTACTTAAACAACAATAGCAAATTGTATATGATATACGCATGTATTTGATAGTGTAAGAAAATCTAAAAAAAATTAAATTATTGAACATTCAAATTAATTGGCAACATAAAAGGAATCAAAATAACCTCTCTCTCTTCTTCTCTCTCTCTCTCTTCTTCTATCTCTGAACGCGTCGCTAGGGTTTCCGATGGCTGCCGTCACCGGCGGAGCCAACTCAGGGGCTGCCGGTGACGGTCGCACCTGGGCTTCGCTCTTCACTGTTAGTCCCGATTTCAAGCTTGACTATTACGAGCCAGAGTTTGTGAATGGGTCTCTTCGGATACCTAAGTCGGTGATTGATGAGGGAGAAAAGCGATGGGTAAACAGCTTGGTTGGGCAATTCATGGATCGGCCGGCTTCCCTGTCTTCAATTCACTTCTGGGCGAATTGGATCTGGGGGCGCGACGGGATGGTGCGAGTATCGTGGTTGGGGGATCGATTGGTGCTATTTCAGTTTCCTAATGCTGAAGTCTGTCGTTGGGTCTTTGAAGGAGGTCCATGGCATCATCGCGAAAACATGGTCCTACTTAGGAAATGGGAGCCAGGTATCCAACCTCTAGCCATCGATAATTCTGCTGTTCCAGTCTGGGTTTGTCAGTCAAATCTGCCATCTGAGTTAACATCTAAGGAGGGATTAGGGCGTCTGGCTAGCTCTCTGGGGCGGCCCCTCTGTATGGACTTTCCCACTAAGCAGGGAACCAAGTATGGTGTTGCTAAGGTGTGTGTTGAGATCACTACCAAGACTAATATGATCAACAAACTGAGCATCACCCCTGAAGGGCGCCCTGAGATGTTGGTGGATGTGGAGTTCTGTCATGTGCCGCGGAAGTGTGAGAAGTGTAGTGTATTCGGGCATGACTGTGAGAATTTGGGAGGAAAGGTAAAACGTGTTTGGGTGGTGAAACAGCCGAAAGTGCAGGACGTGACTTCAATGGGATCGAAGGGTAAGGAAAAAGTGGAAGAGATGATTGAAGCTCGGGCTGAATCTAGTATACAGGCCTTGGTTGTTGCGGAGTCTGTAATAGAGGAGCCTGCAATGGTAGTGGATGAAGGGTGCAGCTCTGAGCCAGTGCCTGAGGATGATGGTTTTAAGGTTGTTACAGGGAGGAAGCACAGAGTTAGGGCTCCTGATCCTACGTCCAATGCAAAGAGCCCGTGGAATTTGTCATCTAATCAGAAGAAGGTACAACTGGATGATAATGCTTTTCCCTCATTGAGCAAGCCAGTTTGGAGAATGAGTATTGAGCCACCGCAGCCTGCTAAAGGTAGGGGACGGGGCAAGAAGAAGAAATGAAGGTTTTCAGCTGGAATATCAGGGGCTTGAATGCTCCTGAGAAGCACTCTGCAGTGCTTAAGAAGATAAGTATACTCAAGCTTGACATTATAGCTATTATAGAAACTAGAGTAAAGATAGAGAGTAGTCTGGATATAGTAAGTAGAAGTTTTGGTCATCTTAAACATATGAATAACTACCCCAAGTCTCCCAATGGTAGAATCTGGTTATTTTGGACATATGGAATTTCTGTTTCTAAGTTGGAGGATGGTCTGCATTTTATCAAAGTTCTTGTTGAAGGGGCAGAGAAGTTTATTCTGATGATTGTGTACAGCCCTAATAAAGAGGCCGATAGATTGGGTTTATATAGAGAACTGCTGGCACAGAATGAAAATTTGATTCCTATGGCAGTCTTGGGTGATTTTAATGCTGTGAGAGATCCTGGTGAGACTTCCAACCTAGTGTCCTCAAATGCTAGTATGGGGGATTTTCAGAATTGGATCGAGGAGATGAGTTTGGAGGATCATAAGGTTGCAGGCAGCAAGTTCACATGGTGGAATAAACAGAAAGAAAACCCAATAGCCAAACGCCTGGATAGAGTCTTGGTGAATGAAGCTTGGTTGAGTAGATTCCCAGCTAGTGTAGCCCAAACTACACCCCCTGGAGTCTCGGATCACTGTGGAATTTTACTTACCACATCTCCCCAGATTGGAAGCTTGTCAAAACCGTTTAAGTATTTCAAATTTTGGGCGAGCCATCCTAATTATATGAAGTTAGTGAGTGATGCTTGGAAGGTGGAAGTGGAGGGTTGGTCTTATTATGTGTTCTATGGGAAACTAAGGAGTGTTAAGAAGACTCTAAGGCAGCTTAATAGAGAGATTTATTCAGACATATCTGTGCAGACAAGAGAAATGGAAGGAAATCTGGAAAAGGTGCAGGCTGAGTTATTGCAGAATCCTACTGAGTTTCTTGTTGAAGAGGAAAGGGATTTGGCAAAGCACTGTCTTGAGCTCAAGAGGGCAGAAGAAAGTTTCTATAGGCAGAAAGCTAGAGTTCAGAGTGTGCAGGAGGGTGATCTCAATACTGCATATTTCCACAAGACTGTGAAGGTGCAAAATCATAGGAAGCAGATATCAAGGATCCTTGATGAGCAGGGGAAGGAAGTTACAGATATCAAAGGTATAGGGGAAGTGGCAGTGAAATTCTATACAGAGCTAATTGGAACAGTCAACCTGGATGTGCAGTTGCAGCCTACAAGTTTCTATGATCATTTGCAATTGAGGTGTCTTACTCCAGAAGTGGCTGATACAATGATTACTCATGTGTCAAGAACAGAGATCAGAGATGTTTTCTTCAATTTGGGGAGAAACAAAGCCCCTGGGCCAGATGGTTTTCCCTCTGAGTTCTTCAGGCTCCACTGGGATTTAGTTGGCACTCTTGTGGAGGATGTTGCTCTTCAGTTCTTCAGATCAGGGATTATGCCTCGGGCAATTAACTCTACACTATTCACTCTGGTGGCAAAAGTAACTAATGCTGAGAAAATGAAGGACTTTCGTCCAATCTCCTGCTGCAATACCTTATATAAAGGAATCTCAAAGGTGTTGGCTAACAGGTTAGTTGCTGTCCTCCCTTTACTTATCTCTCCTTCACAATATGCTTTTGTTAAAGGGTGTTCTATTAGTGATAACATTCTATTAGCAGCAGAATTAGTTAAAGACTATCATAGGAAAAATGTGACTCCTCGATGTGCGATTAAGTAGATATCATGAAGGCTTTTGACTCGGTTAACTGGGTGTTTCTGTTTTCTGTGCTTAAAGTTATGGGTTTACCTGTTCAGTTCATTGCTTGGTTAAAAGCTTGTATTCAGAATCCCAGAATAAGTGTTAGTCTGAATGGGGGGATATGTGGTTCTTTTGATATGGCAAAGGGTTTAAGGCAAGGGGATCCATTATCCCCTTACCTATTCACAGTAGCTATGGAAGTCTTGGATGCATTATTGAAGAGTGCAGCAGTGCAGAATCAGATACCCTATCACCCTAGATGTAAGCCACTGGCTATTACGCATCTGTGTTTTGCAGATGACCTACTTGCTTTTACAAATGGTTCGATCAGGGGGGTTGCAGGTATCTGTCGAGTTTTGGATGCTTTTTAATCTGTGTCTGGATTGAAGTGTAATCCTGATAAATGCCAGATGTTTTGTGGGGGTATCCCAGAAGAGGAAAAGCAAAGAATATCTACATACTCAAAGTTCCCAAATAGTCTTCTACCAGTTCGTTACCTTGGGGTGCCTTTGATTACTGGGAAGCTTACCAAGGCTGAGTGTAGGGTGTTGATTGAGAAGATTACAGGGAAAATTAATAGTTGGAGAGAAAAATTTCTTAGTTTTGCAGGCAGGTTGCAGCTGATTACTTCAGTACTTACAAGTGTTTTACAATTCTGGATGGGGGTTTTTCTGTTACCAAAGTATGTGATAAAAGAAGTGGAGTCTATATGCAGCAGGTTCCTTTGGGATATTAGTGATACCTCGCTAAGAAAAAGAGCAGTAGTGGCCTGGCAGTCCATTGCTAGGCCAAAAAAGGAAGGGGGTTTGGGTATAAAGAACTTTTCAGTTTGGAACAAGGCCTGTGTTTGTAGGCATCTTTGGGCGATTCTGGCAGCAGAGGGTTCTCTATGGGTTGCCTGGTTTACACGTTATAGGGTGAAGCAAGTTTCTGTCTGGGATCTGAAAGACACAGCAGCAGGGACCTGGGTCTGGAAGCGGTTACTCAAATGTAGGGATGTGGTAAGGCCATTCATCTCTGTGATTGGCTCTGAGTTGCAGTGGGGTGGACAGGCTATGCAGTCTTACTCTGTTTCGAGAGCGTGGGAGTCGTAGAGGCAGAAGGAAGCTGAGGTCAGATGGTTTAAGGTTGTGTGGGATAAATATATCATCCCTAGGCATGGATTTATTTTATGGTTGGTGATTAATGATAGGCTGAAACTGCAGAATAAACTGATCGCGTGGGGTAAGCCACTTTCAGGGCATTGTCTATTATGTCCTGGAGGAATGGAAGATCGAGATCACCTGTTCATGGGCTGCTCTTATTATCAATTTCTGAGTTGTAAAGTTTTGAAAGAGGAATCACCTCATATGCTTGGAAGCTGGAATGCTGTGTTGGAGTGGTGTATTATGAAGTGGGCGAGTGATTCTTCGGTTCATTCATTGAATAGAATGAGCTGGAGTGTCCTTATCAGCCTTGTTTGGCGAGAGAGGTGTGCAAGGTTATATGGCTCTGTGGCAGCAAGGAGTCCTTCTCAGCTTCTGGTTGATGCAAGGAGAATTCTTTGGAGTCGTTTTCTTTTAAACCAATGCTTAGTTGATTGCTTTGAAGCGAGGGGACTTGGGGTAGACAGTTAGCAAGTTAGGCTTGTTTTCAGTTTTGTTGAGTATCTCTGTGAGGTTATGATGTACAGGATTGTAAGTTTTTCGAGGGCTCCATGGCACTTTGCTATTGGTGTCGGTTCTTAATGCAATTTGATTTAACCATAAAAAAAGGAATCAAAATTATTAAAAAAAATAAAAATACTTCAACCATTCAAAAGGATCAACATCATAGTGTTTTCCGAAATTGTAACTGACTCATCGAGTAAAATCATTTTTACAAAAAAATGAAAGACAGACCCCATGCTATGGAGCTGACTCCTTTTTTTTTTTTTTTTTGAAAACTCTTCATTTTGGATTGTATGTGTTTCCTCCGCCATAAACAACATTGTCATCTCCACCAGTAATAATGTATTCATCTCCATCAATGACACATTTATCTCTGATATTAGTTGACTTTTCTTCCTTCTTTTCTTGCATTACAATAATCCATTCTTTGTTTCATGCATTTTCTTAGAGTTATACTCTTCCTCATCCTTCCCTATCTAGGAAATTGTGTACTCACTTGTTGGGTTAGGGATGTAATCTATGAGCTTGATGTTGAACGTTAACGTCATTCTCTTAGTTATAGGATATGAGTAGGTGGTAGTCCTCTCATTCCATTGTTCTTTTGGAATAGTCTCTTAGCCGACATTCCGAAAACTTAACCGCTCACTCAATCGATAACAACAAAGTCAACCTGAGGTAGTTTGTCTACAACTCGAAGGTGGATCCTGAATCTGTATAATGATGGTAATGGCATAATCAATAGTAAAAATTGTATGAAGTACATTATTTTTTAGTTGGTGAAGGAAAAAATCAAATTTATTCAATTAATAATAGAAAATAGTCTCATGAAGTAAGATAGGTGGAAAGTAGGGATGACAATAAAACTCGCTACTATGGGTACCCAACAACCCTTGACCCAGTTAGCACGGAGAATTCCTGCTTGGCTCTTGGCTGGGTATGTAAAGGGTATGGATAATACCCGCAAAATATTTGATGGGTGGATATAATTTTAGATGCTATCACCCCATACCAATACCATCCCCATCAAGAGTACTTATTCAAATATAAAATTTAGAGAGATCAAATTCTAATATATCAATGAAAAGAACAATAATTTGAAAAAATAATAATGTAATTGATTAGTCATTCAAAGCAAACATTAATTTCTTTCCCTTGAAATCTAGCCTCATACCTTCACTTCTTTCTCCCTTTCAATGTGATTATTTTAGTTATTTTTTTCTCAATAAATGTGTCAGAGTTGTAGATGAATGATTATGATGATATTGTACCCTTTTTTTATGGAACAAATGTTTTAGGATTGAATGTGTCAATCGTATTAAAATTATTGTATATTTGTTGTATTCTTGATTTATTAGGTTTGCTTAGTGTTATAATTAAAGATCTACATGTTAAATTCTAGATATAGCAATGTTAGATGTACAGGTGTGTATCACCTTCGGGTATCTGAAAATTGTGGGTATGAGGATGAGGATGCAAAACCTCCTCTGTATGAGTATGATGCAGGTATGAGTTTGATTATTTGAGAATGAATATGGGTATAGTTTATAAGACCATGTATTTTCTAAAAATATCGAAAAGATCCATATCACCAAAATGTAAATAGGCAAACTATACATAAGGGTAATGTTTAAAACTAAAAATAATGATGATATTGTACCTTTTCTTATGGATCAACAAATGTTTTAGGATTGAATATGTCGAATTCGTATTAAAACGATTGTATATTTGTTGTATTCTTGATTTAGTAGAAGGCACATGCAATAGAAAAGCTTCCTCTCGCACACATGCCTCTAATATGTGCCCTCGCGTGTGGACCAATATTACAAGTGATCATCCGTATTATAAAGGATGACATTTAATTGTGTAACTATCATACCGAAGAGAGTTATCTCACATCCAATCCCATGTACAATCTGAAGAATTTACATAATCGGAAAGTTTTAGTTGGAGCTCTTTGGGGGTAAATTTTCCAGTGAGTGTAATAGCTGTCAATAAACCTGAATACTCAAATAAGATGGGCAACAACATCTGTAGAAGAAAAACTTGAAAAGTGAATGTTTGGTTCTATATAGGGGTGACAAACGGTAAGTCGGTAAACGGTTTACCATTTTACCGAACCGGTAACCGGCGGTAAACAGTAAACCGTTTATCGGTGGTATCGGAAAACGAGGTTCAAATGGGGAAGCTCGGTTTACCGGCCCCAGTATCGGTAAATACCGACGGTAATTCGGTATTACCGATACCAGATTAGTTAAGGCATTAACTAATAACATATACTTCATTATTCACAAATATTACATACATGAATGAAAGTAAGTAAGTATAGGCCTAAAAAATATTATAAATAAGAGTTAATAATAATTTATTAATTACAAAAATGAAGAAAAAACTCATAAAAATCAAAATATCACAACATCACTCCATTGCCCAGAAATTCGGTTCGGTAATTTTCCGGTAAACCAATGTTGTCAGAACCGAACCCGGTAATGAGAACGGTTCGCACTTTAGCGGTCCAACCGGCATTAGACCGTTTAAAAACCGTTAGAGAACCGGTATCTAATAAACGTTATCAGTATAAATTGTGGACATTTCTTAATCAGAGCTCATCTCTTTCCTTCGAAATTGTGAAATGGAAATAAGGATTCAATTTAAGAGCCCGACGTTTTTGGTTTATTTCAATTTTCAAATTTCTACAATTTTTTTAATTAAATTTAGTGGCTGAATGGCAAAAACCGGACGAGCGTCTTGATCGGCTCGAACGGTTAACCGCCTCGGCCGCTCGCCAACCGCTACATAAAACCGGAGCGGCTTTTAGACTGTTCCGAGCCGGTTTTGTGACCGGGTGGCGGTTTTACCGGTCGGGCCGAGCGGCTCGGCTCGGCTTTAATAGCACTGCGAAAAACCTTCCGCAACTACTCTTTACGGTAAGTCGGTAAAATCGGTTTGTAACTGTTTACCGGTAATTCGGTAACCGGTAAACCGGTTACAAACCGGTATCGGTAATCGATTCCCACTTACCCACACTCGGTATATCGAAAACCGGTAAAGTAATACCACCCCTAGTTCTATATGCATAAATTTGGAGTGAAATTGAATTGAGAATGTTATTTGAACCTGAAAGAAATGTCCTTTGGTTGCACTTCTTGTTAATCTCGTATTGTTTAATGAAATTAAACGTGTAAGCTGGTATGGCTGGAATATCGTTGCACAATATCGCCTCATTATTGATTCAAACTTGATGACCAATTTTGTTTGTAATTGGCCTGTAATCTCATGTTGTCGTACTGACCTTGAAGTTCTTGATGATGGAGACTCTGGTCACGAACAGGGGTTGAAAGTCATTGATTTCCCCTTTAGTTATTTGCACTCATATCATTACCATGAAGAAGTAATATAAGCATATTTATAAAATTTTAAAATTGTAATAATTGACTTTAAATTTGCATGGCTCTAGTTGGTTTACTTTTTAATCAGTCACTATCATATCGAGATAAATAATAATATATGTGTTGAGATAAATAATAAAATTTTAATCAGTCTTGTTTCGAGTATAAAACTGCAAAATTACATTGTGTCACTTTCTTCTCATGGTATCCATTAGCGCATCCTCACCGCCAAAATATAAAATATTTGGGGTGTAACCATCCTCTCCATGTGCAAATAATATGGAATATTGCAATGACCTCATTTGTAGATAGCACACAATAAAAAATTTAAAACCATATAAAATCGGAAACAAACATGAAATCAACGGATTACCAGTAGGAATGTTGATAATTTTTTTCATATATACCATTTTTTCTTATATAAAGACCACGTTTCGTTCTTGCTAATTTTCTCAATGGTTGATCAATTCTCTTAAACTCTAACTTATGTAAACCAATTTATGAAAATGTAAAATGGGGAGTAACAGTTTTGTAAGGTCAATTCGTATGAAATATTTAGAGAGATTATAATCAATTGATAATTTATCGATGTACATAACATCACAAAACTTATTTTGCACTTCATATAGAGATCGATAAGAATCCACCACACCTTCTGGTGGTATAAAACAACTCTTTTTCCCCTTAATAACACGTGGCATTGACACACATTAAATTGTAATGTGTATATAATTAATAAAAATATTTGCACATACATCAAATTTTAACGATCAAATTGAAGAATATTTGGTTGTTTGAATGATTCTACACGGAAAATATTTCTCCGAGACATAGAACTACAAAATTAGTCTCCAAAAATATTATTCTTAATAATATAAGCAAAATAGTAGATGATGGATGTGTTCTACTAACATCAACAGGGAAGTCTAAACTAATTACTTAAATATGATTTAAGGTTTCTAATATAAATTATCTTTTGCCCGGATACACTTCTAATGGTACCCAAGCAATTAAGCAACAAATAATTCAAGTTTCTATCTTTAACTTTAACGCCAGAAATCTAAATAACATAAGAAAAATATTTCAAAAAAAAAAATATATAAGCAAAATAGTTTATGATGGCAGGGCTCTAACATGAACACGAAAACATAAATTAACTTAAATCTAAAGGTTCATTTGGTTTTGGTGATAGTTAAATAGATGCATTGTCATTAATGCATGCATAATAATATACATGTATATAAGAAAATTGGTGAATTGTAGTTTGCATCGTTTGGTTTATGTGATAGTAAATAAGTTATCTTACTTTTTGGTTGAAATGTCACTTTTACCCTTTGTTTGTAATATAAAAAAGCAAGACACATAAAAAGGTAGGGACAAAATTGGAAGAAAACACACACAACAATCTCAATCAAACAATCTCAACAATCATACCCAAAACTTGAGATTTAACTATCACTCATTTTGAGTGATAGTTTGTGTCACATCAAGCAAACAATGCATGTATTGTGTGTGCAGAAAATTCAGAAAACGATGCATTATGAACAATGTATGAATTATAACTATTTCAACCAAACAATCACCAAAACCAAACAACCCTAATTTATAGTTTCTATTATAGATGACCTTTACCTTAATACACTTCTACTGGTACTCTACAAAGCGAAGCTGTTAAACCAATGGATAATTCAAGTTTGTACCTTTAGCTCTATCTTCGATGGAAGAAGGCCCGGAAGGAAGTAAATTTTGGCGAAAATATTCAAGGACGGTATTTGGAAATTCTACCGTAAAAATCAGTGAAATGGTATTTTATGTTGAAACGGTGGTTTAACCATGATTGAACTATTTTATATTGTTAAATATTGCCTACCAACTTAGCCTCTAGTAAAAAAATTCTGATCGAACCACAGATACATTATGATTTTGCGATCCTCAATAAAAACATAGGCTTATACCACTATAACACACGAACTATGCACAAAATGCCACTTGTGTTCTATTCTTTTCAATATTCTATTTCTATCTTGAACTGTTGACTAGTTTTGCCTGTTAGTATGTAACAGAAAGTCTAATCAGTGCCTATGTGGCGTCTGACGTGAAATTTTAAAATTAATTTTATTTAGCAAAACAATTAAAAAAAAAACTGGACATTTTCTTGGTCCTTCTCCCTCACCACCACCACCCATTCTCCGCCGCCACCACCGAACCAAAATCGAAGGAAGAAGCTTTCCTTTCTCTATCTGCTTCTTCAATTGTCTGCTAGCTAAGCCACTTCCAAACAACGCCGACCCAAGTCTCCCCCAATTCTCATGTCCATTCTCGGTTTCTAGTATCTACCATTCCTTCCCCAAATTTCTAGATCCAAAACCCATGTTTGTCATTTTTCATCCTTTCTAACCCAAATCTCCCATTTATCCTTCCTCGCCCAAATCTCCCACCTTATAACACGACCCGATCCTTTTTTAAAACCAAACCACAACTCAAACCACAAACCGGTTACTCCAGAGCAACCCAAAACGGTTTACAAGTCAAAACAAAAAATCAACAACCACAATATTTAAGATTTTCAAGTGAAATGCCCTAAACACTTGGGCGACCTCAATCCAGAGAAACAAAACATAAAACACAATCCTTGAGTTTCCCAGTATACTTATTAAGACATGAAACTAAAGACATATATATGGGAGGTCTCATCTCGTTACCCAGATCCAGTTGACATCTTATGGTTTGCTTAACCTCCTCTTGATATATGCATCTTCTTCCCCTCTCTGCACCTGGTGAGTAAGAAGGGGTCAGTCTCGTCGTTACTTCCTAAGGTCTTTGCCCTAAGAAGCTCCCTACTAAACACATTATTAGAGTTTGCTTCCTGGCATGAAAGCCATTCTCGCTTTCTGCTCTTAAATAATCATTCTTATTAACTCATTTCAACATTAACTCCCAAGAGTGCTCGCCTTCTATCCTTAACTCAAACACAAAACACTAGGACCACCGTGTTACGTCTCGCCGTCCGGTGTCCTACCCTAGTATGCCAACCGCGTTACGTCTCGCCGTCCGGTTGCATACCCAAACTCGGCAATGGCACTGCGTTACGTCTCGCCGTCCAGTCCATGCCCGTCAACTACTGCGTTACGTCTCGTCGTCCAGTAGTGACCCAACCGCCCGGGGGTTCATCATACCATCCAATCCATACAACATCACATACATTCATACATAGCAAAACGCGTGCCTCCACCCTTACAGGCGGTGGGATGCCTCACAAACATATCGTGCATGCTAGAAAAAAATTAACTAAATAATAACTTGAACGAAAAGCAGAAACTAAAAGACCTACGACAGAGATTTTACCCCCTTTACACTCACCTCGAAAAGATGACTTCTCAACTCCTTCCTCGAAGAAACCCCTCCTTGGTCGGGTTATCTCAGGAAACCTATTAATAAGAAATTCATACTCTAAGACAACATTTCTCGATTTAAAAGTCTCCTTTTGAAACACTAGGACATCCTCCCCTCAAACTCCAGTCCTTGAACCTCATTCCAAGGGTCCTTTAACCCCCATTAAAATTTTCTAGAATTAATCCCTTCAAAAATGACCATTTTTCTTAATTATTTTTATCTTGGACGAATTTTTCACCTAACTTGAACCTTCTTATAACTTTGGAAAATAATTTTCCCATGTCAATCATGAGCACCTATACGCTGGAAAATTATCAAACCCTTAAAAACCCCTCGGAAAGATTTTTATTTAATTAAAACGAATATTAGAACAATTTCTAAAAATAGAAATACATCTTCAAAAATCATCAAATTAAAATAAAGCTATCTTATAGACCTCCCTCAATTTATAAAATTATTAAACTCCGTAACAAACACCGACAGAACTCGAAACAATTAAAAACATCCAAAAATACGTTTCTGGAAATTTCCAGCAGCTTTAGTGACCACCCAAAATCAATGACTAAAAGCATGTTAGGCCTGTTGCTAAAAACCCGGAATTGCACCCTCACAAAAAATCACCAAATCGATCAATCTAACTCAAAGGGATCGAGTTCCCTTACCTCTAGAACTTGCCTAGGCCTAGGTTGGATGACCTGGGACGTTGATCTCCTCGCGGATCGAACCCTCAAACGTCACCGCTAATAAAATACGAGATTCGGATTAGACTATCGATAAATCGAGTTTAGAAATCGCGAAGGGGTTCGCGGTCCTTACCTAGAATGAAAGGGATAGGGTCGGGGTCGGGATCAGGGTGAGGTGGACGCTCTCTTCTCCTCCTTTTTTCCCCCTCTTCTTCTCTCTTCTCCGCGGCGCGGGTGCTTGCAAAAATAGGGACAGGATACGGTGACAACCCCCTTGGGGGTTGTCAGATTCACAACCAAGAGTATTTTGGGTATGAAAAAAATGAATATATTAATTACCTTTTTTGTATTAATTATATTGGGAATTTAATACCCATATTAAATACAATTTTTTTCTGAAATTTAAATCTTATACATTAATATCTCTATCTATCTCTCTCTCTCTTCCTTTCTCCAGCAGCCACTCCGCATCGACTGACAAACTTTTTCTCCGGCGAATTCTCTCCGGCAGACTCCCTCCGGCAACCTGAAAAAATGTACCAATGCGTTAAAAAGTGTACCAATCTATTAGTCTACTGGTAATTAATATACCAGTGCTAGTGGTACGCTACCAGTACGTTAAAAAATGTACTAGTACTAGCGGTACCAGTAAAAAATGTACCAATACTAGTGGTCCGCTACCAGTACAACGCTACCAGTAGAGAATAACACAACGCTACTAGCACTGGTAGCGCTACCACTAGCATTGGTAGCGGTACCAGTAGAGAATAACACAAAAAAACAGATAATAGTGGTATTAGATGATAGTGGTACCAGATGATAGTGGTACCAGTGAGTAGTGGTAGGGGAGCCACTGGTACGTACCAGTGAGTAGTGGTATCGTACCAATAGGAATTGGTACCACTAGCATTGGCAGTCTTCTCCTCGAGATTCTTCGCACCCCCGGCGGTGGCCTTGGCGTCGAGGAGGTCGTTGAAGCCGACGCCGGAGGCAGAGAGCTTGGTGTAGAGACGATCTGGACGTCGATATGGACGTTGCTGATGAGAACGCGGACGGAGCCGATCTGGACGTCGCGGAGCCAGGCGGCGGCGTAGATCTCGATCATGATGGCGGGTACAGCAGGCTGTGAACGGTGGGTACGGGAGAGGAAGAGGGAGGGGAGGACAGCGGCGCGGCGGCAGGGGAGGCAGAGGCGGCGACGGTGGTGGAGCTCTTGACGGCTAGGGTTTTTTTGTTAGAGATATGTGAGAGGGGAAGAGGAGGGAGACGCAGGAGAATGGGGGAGGGTCTGTTTTTTTTTTTTTTTTTTTGGGTAATAAAAAGTATTTATATGGAAAATGGAAAGGATCTCATGTGGTAAGTTTTCCATTCCGAATTTGCCCTTGGTTTAATCTTAACCATTAATTTAAAAAAAGAAGAAAAAGACAGGAGAGAGAACGTATCTGATGGCCACAAAGGTGGTTGTGAATCTGACAACCCCCAAGGGGTTGTCACCGTATCCTATCCCGCAAAAATACGAGAAGGGTTTTTTTTTTTTTTTTTTTGTCTATTGTGTTGCCGACTTGCCGGCAATAAAAGGGGTGGGGTGGGGGATTTATTGCTTGGGTGGGGATTGTAGGCGCTGCCTACTTGGGCCGCCCCACTGCCCTTTTTTAATAATATAATGATAATAATAGTTATTATTATTATTGTTATTATTCCGAATTCGCGGTTGCAACTCTTAGTACGTAACCATCAAACCAACCGCTAATTTATTATGGTCGACCCAAATCTAAATTACCAGGGTGTTACACCTTACTCCATTGAAACCCAAGAATGCTCAATACCAATCGGTGGATCTGATTGTCTCGGCCGTAACCCATTCATTATGGTGGAAGAGATAGAGAAATTTGTGGCGACTCGGCGACTCTATAACCCTCGACTCTGACCCAAAAATTCTGATTGACTAAAGCTCGTTTCTATCTGCTCTGCAATTTTTGTGAGATAAAGATGAAGGGAGGCAAATCAACTCCGAAGATGGAAGAAGAAGAAGGTCATTCAGTTTTTGGTCTTGGGTCCCTGAAGCTCCTGGAAGGAGACAAAAAGCAGAAGTCAACCATGGATTTGCTTAACCATCACCTTCAACTTAAGCATGAAGTAGACGATCAAAAGGATCTTCAGATTGAAGGCGAGAGGGAGTAAGGCGGCGGCGGCGGGAGGGTTTGAGATGGGAGGGTCAGGGGTGCTCTGTGCAAAGTAACAACGGAGGGAAGACGGGAATTACCAGAGCAGATCCGACGATTGACGACACTCCAGCTTCCCTTCCCACAAGCCAGCAATGGCATTCTGTCACCGTCGTGTGTCATCATCGTGCACAGCTCGCGGAATTACCAGAGATCTATCAATTACAGTTGGGTGGGTAGCCGATTATCAACACCGAACCGAACAATTAATCCCAGTTCGAGGTGTCGGGACTACTGAAGCAAATTTTGCCCACGATTTCCTTCATCTGCTCCCAGTTGAGAATTGGGCAACGCGATTCAAAACTCTCGCCAGAGGGAGCAAGAGGAAGAAGTAGAGGAGCAAAGAATTTTTTGTTATTTTTAAATTAAAAAACTTTGAATTAAAAAAATAATAATCTGATGTGTTAATGACGTGGCATCTATGTGGCACTTATGTTTTATGCCACGTCAACAAAAGTCAATATTTCTTTGACCTCCGTCTAGTCAACTGTTAACTCTAGCGGTCAACAAAAGTGACAGGACACAAATGACAGAAAGTATCATACAACGGAACAAGATTGAGATATTGAATAAAGTAGGACACAAGTGACATTTTGTTGATAGTTCGGGTGTTGTAGTGGTATTATCCCTAAAAACGTATAGTTACTTGCTCTCCCCTACGTCACTTATACCCAGTGGCGGAGCCATTGTTGAGGAGAGGCCCCCCCGGTCCTAGGAACCTACTTGGAAATAAAGGGGCAACCAAATCCTTTAGATACGTGGGATTTTGTATAATCCTTTGAATGTAGAACTCCATACTCTTGTTGATGTTAGCTCACCTAAGGACACCAATCGACTCAAATTTCATAACATACACAGAATTTAGTGCTTTGAAATTTTTAAGAACCCCAGTCAACTCAAAATCGGGCTACGTCACTGCTTATACCAATGATAAAGCAATATTAGGAGGAAAACCCCCTAAACCACACATGATGTGAAATATATTATAAGTATTATAAAAATATATCCTTCCGGGAATGGAAAACGTACAAAACTGCAATGACCGCTTTTTTTCTTCTTTTTCTTTTACCAAAAAAACCCCTCCGTCCTATGTGTTGGTGTCGGGAAAAGTGGAATGGATGGGATTTGAAAGAAAACCTCCATATAGTAATTGTTTGATTTGACAAAATGACTAATACTAACTAAACTATGGTCACTAAGCACAAACATTTTTTTAAAACCTAATGACAAAATTTATAGCTAGGATAAAGAGTAAGAAATTGTGTACAAATAGCAACATGAGATTACAATAACTATTGTTGATCATTGTTCAAAAATAACTATAATGTCGTGTGGAACAAACGAGTTATCGATGATTATCCACATAAACTACATCCAAGGGAGCGGTTACGGTGGTAACTTGGTCCTTGTAGCCACCGCGGTTACTAAGGGTAGTAATGGTATTCTGGTGCTTATTGTTTTGGACTTTTGGTAGTGTTGCATATGGTTATTGCTAGTGTTGACGTTGTGGTATTCTAATGCTTATTGTTTTGGTAGTGGTGCATATGTTTATTGGTAGTGTTGACGTTGTGGTATTAATATATATTTGTTTGGATGGATTGGTATTGAATATAAAAAAAATACTTGCATTTATGTTAATTGCATTGAATTAATTATAGTGGAGAAATAATTTTTTACAAAAACTATATTCTTCGCTCTATATATCTCTCTCTATTTGATTCTGCCTCTTTGCCTTCCTCTGATCCTTTCATCCTTGTGCTTCAACGATTGTAACCATCTGTACTTTTTTCGACTACCTAACAAAAAATCAATACCAATACGAAAAATTAGTACCAATCTAGACAAAATAAATACCAATCCAAGAAAGATCAATACCAATACAAAAAATCCATACTAGTCTAGAAAATCAATACCATTATAAAAAACGTATATGACAACTACTACCAATACAAATACACCCAAACCAATACCACTACAAAAAAATATCAAACCAGTATCGATACGAATACAGTTAAACCAAAACAATACCAAAATAAAATTGAAGCAATACCAAAATAAATAAAAAATCAACCAACACCACTTTAAAATCGAATCAATACCAAAACGAAAAAACCTAGATCTATGTTTTTATGTTTCTGCAGAGGAGATTTAGCCAATATCAAATCATTAAAACTAACAAATACCAAAATAAAATGAATACCAAAATAAACACCAAATCACCGCCACTGGAGTCACCGTGCATCGCCTCTCACCTACTCTATCGTGTTCTTCACCGACAACCTGGTCTTGTCACCAGAGATGAACGCCATGTGCTCCGCCTCCACATCAGGAACGGGCGACACCAATGGGATGGGATGGTGAGGGGAACAACGGGTGGGTGAGGTGGAGGGGGAGGGGGGGGGGATGGGGTGGGGAGGGGAGGGGTGGAGGGATGACGTCGGTGGGGTTGGAAGGTGAGGGATGGAGTGGGGGAGGGTGCCGCCGGTGGGGTGGGTGGTGAGGAGAGGGGAGGAAGGACGGCGGCACCGCCGAGAAGGATGGGAGGCGGTGGGTTGGGTGGGAGAAAGGCAGAGTATTAGGTTTTAAATAGTAATAATCACATGTTTTATTTTTTTCATTTCCCAAAGTATCTTTAGAGCAATATTGATCGTAGGCATGGCAACGGGGCGGATCGGGGCCGGGTACCCTGTATCCGTTCCCCGCCCACAATGGGCTTCGGGTTTACCCGTCCCCGACCCAAACGGGCTTTCGGGCCTAGTAGTATACCCAGCCCCGTCACCGCTGGGTTTTCGGGTGCCCACGGGTCTGAAAAGCCCGCAACAATGCCAACAAAAAGAACAAAGTAAAATAGAAAAAAACCCTGAAAATCTGACATCTCCTTTTATTATCAATAAAAGATCTCAAAAACTGAAGTCTGAAACTAACAGCAACAAGTCAACAACATTCGAAACTTGAAAGTTGAGATCAACAATCAAGATTCAAGCTAAGTATCAAATCATCCAAACTGAAATCAACAAAAGAGAACCATTCTCAGCAGTCTGATTGTCGAGTCTTATTCAAAGCAAGAACAACTAAGCTAATTAGCTAAACAAAGCTCCAAGCCATAAGCCATCCTAACTATTGAGATCAATTCCAACAGCAGCCTTCCTTCGAGCAAGATGAAGCTTCAACTTGAAATTCTGCACCAACAGCAGCCTTCCTTCGAGCAATATGAACCCATCAAGCCATTAGCCATCTTAATCAATAGCAGGTAGCGACAGTCATCATTCATCAATTGAAATTCTGCACCAACATTCAAGTAAAAAAGACTTAACTCCCTAAGCCCCACTAGTAACACCAACAAACTCCATGTTCTTGCAACAAAAGAGAAGAAGTTTTAAAGTAATTAACCTGGCTGGACAGTAAAGAATGGATCAGTCTTCATGGCCAAATGGTGATCTCAGGAACACCATTTCTAGACCTAAAAACCAGAAAGCAAAACACATTAGTTCAACCTCAAATCTCAATGAACAAAATTAGAAATGCACTAATTTTCTTACCCCCAGGTTCTGCCTCTTCTACAGTAGTATCTTCGACTGACAGTGCTGAGAAGACTCCCTCCAATGCCTCCACAGCAACAGCCTCCGAATCTGCAGAAAAGTGTATACAAATATTAGTTACACTTAAACAAAATTAGTTGTACTAGAATTTAGAGATTTAGTTGCATGTTACCTTGTTGCATGTCTTCCATAATCCAACTTCGTGTGCACATCATTGATTCAACAGTGGAATAATGAAGCCTGCTCCGGTGAGGGTCTAACAACCTCTCACCAGAACTAAATGCACTTTCAGAAGCAACAGATGTAATTGGGATTGCCAGAAAGTCCCTTGCAAGGTGGGATACTTGAGACCATTAAGTTTCCACCATAAGAGCAGATCAAAGTCTGTTGTCCGAGGAATAATGTCCTCGGCAAGATACATACCCAACTCAGTAGTAATCAAAGAACTCTTGCTCTTTTTCCTTTGACTTACAAAGAGCTCAAAGTCAAGTTCAGTAGCCGAGACAGATCCAGAACTAGCAGAAGAAGTTCCAGTTTCAGAACCAGACTTCTTCTCGGCTTTGGTTTGATAATCAAGAATCAAACCACAAATAATCTTCTTGATATCATCACCAACCAAGTCAGTTTCCATACTCCCAAACTTCCCAGCATAGTATTCAATCACATGGAGCTTATATCTAGGATCCAAAACAACCCAAACAGCAAGTACAAGATGGATATCATCCCAGTACTTATCAAACTTCTCAGACATTTGAATGGCCATTCCAAAAATCACAGGGTTGGGGTCAAGACCCCACTCATTTAGTTTCAATCTCAAGTCACAAATCTTTGGGAAGAAAAGATTGGCAGTCGGATACTTGAAACCAGAGAATAACTGAGTTATCTCAGAAAATATTTCCAGCTTATCAATCACAACAGATGCAAATTCCCAATGTGAACTAGAAGGAACAGATGTGTATTGACTGTCCCTCAAGCTCAAACGAAAGAAAACATCCTTATATTGAAGAGCAATAGAGAGCATATGGTATGTGGAATTCCATCTAGTTGGACAATCAAGTACCAGTTTTTTCTCAAATGTCAACTTTAGTTGCTTAACAACTTCAAAGAAGGTTTGAACCCTCTTAGGTGTAGAATTCCAGTAAACTACACTCTCCCTAATCAAATGTATAGCATCTTTGATTGCATCCAAACCATCCCTCACAATCAAGTTCAGAATATGAGCTGAACACCTCATATGAATCAGTTTACCATCAAGCAAGAGATCACTGCTCACAAGCTTATTTCGCATATGAAATATCATTGAATCATTGGAGGTACAGTTGTCCAGTCTGATTGAGGACAACTTACCATCAATGTTCCAATCAAGAAGTGAATCAAACAACCTATCAGCTAGCCTTTGACTAGTGTGAGGGGCTGGAACATACATAAACCTCAACATTATGTTACGAAGCTTCCAAGAGTTGTCAATAAAATGACCAGTTACTGCCATATACCACATTTTCTGATTTGTGGCAGTCCACAAATCAGTAGTGACTGAAATTCTGCCCAAATTTCCATCAATCATGGTCTGATATTTAGACCTCTCAACCCCATACAGACCCAGAATATCCTTTTTCACCGTGTTTCTACTAGGGACAGCAAACTGAGGTTGAAGAGAACAGCAAAAACGTTTGAAACCCACATGATCAACAAGGCTAAGGGGGTACTCATGGACCAGAACCATAGAACAAAGTTCCTTCTTGGAAACCTCATAATTGTATTGAGAAGCAGAGAGTTGAGGATTTCCACCAGGTTGATAGTTGGGGCCAAGTATTTTTTGAGAACCATCATGTATCCTCTTTTGGATACATGTTTTGATATGGTTTCTCAGGTGTGAAGTTCCATTACTTGTTTCCCCACCAAGGGGTTTACGACAGTACTTACACCTAGCTTTCATTACCCCATTAATCCCAACTCTGTGGAAGTGATGCCACACATTAGAGGTTAACTTACGTTGTGCTTCAAGTTCTTCCTCATTACCATTAATCGGATTATTTGGAACAGGAGGAGGTTGTTTAGGTTGGACTTGGACACCATTTTCAGGGACATGTTGATCAACATTCATAGCATTAGCAGTAGCACCTTCCATCTGAACATAATCAAGTTATATATCACTGATTAGACCTTTCATTTTACATTTTTTCTTACTTAAATGGACACCATTTTCAACCAGACAACATTTTTTCTTCTAACCAGCAAACAGGACACCATTTTCAACAATTTAACCATTACAGTTTACGTCTTCTAACTAAGTTATTATCATTAGCAAGCCATAGTCACAACAAGTCAAAGCAACACAACAAACACAATGGTTACTGCCTACTGGTTAGGACTTAGGAGAGCGAGATTACCTTGTCTTTCTGTTTTTCTGAGGACTGTCGAGTACCCAATGACAGTAGACTGCTCACTGATGATCACTATCACTCGCTCAGTTGCTCGTCAGAGTTCAGTCCTTCAATACAGCTTCAAACGAGTCCAACCTGGCCAAAAAGGTGTGAACATCGAACAAAAAAAAAGTTAGAACAGGAGACAAGCATGCATGTCTGTATTAACACCACAAAGGCACAAACCCAGGAAAAGGTCGCGAGTTCAAGATCCTTACCCAGAAAAAGACTTGGACTCTTTCTGGATGCTCGTCGCAATCTCTCTGTCTCTGCTCTCTGTGGACTGGGTGTTCTGGGTAGAAATTTAGCGAAGGTCAGGATGGTGACTGGTGAGGAATGACCTCTGAAATCCCCCTATATATAGCAGTACGAGTGCCAAGAGTCAGTAGATTGAGGATACAACGAAGATAATCGAAAGAAAAGAAAAATTCCAGAATTAACTGATCTGTTATCGACGAACAATCAGGGATTTGAACTCCAAACGACTCATTTTTGGGTTGTGCTCGACGAAATCGGCGTCGGATCGTTGCTCTTCCAGCCATGCAATTGGTCGAATGGAGGAATCGAAGATAGATCGTAGTGAAACTAGGAGAGATTCGAGGATTTGGAGAGGAGAAAAGGCAAAAAATCACGATTATCTTGCGATTCGCCAGAGAAGAGGCAGAGAGAAAGAAGGAAACTATGGTTTGGGACTTTTGGTCTGCGAATTGCAAAATGAGGAATGAGGGGCGGCTGCTAGGGTTTCTCAACACATAACAGGAATATATATATGGAGGAGTAAACGGCGTCATTTTGGTGCACGGGTAATCCGCCGGTCGGGTTTCGGGGCGGATAGTAGCCAAACCAGCCCCACCCGAAAACCAGGGTTGACGAATCCCGGTTTTCCCGCCACCCGTTGACGGGCCTGTGCTACCAGCCCGCTTGGGCCCTTCACGGGCGGACCTCGGGCGGGTATCCGCTAACGGGCCCGGGCCTGCCATCCCTAATTGATCGTTAATTTAAAAAAAAGGAAAAATAAGGAAAATGAATGGTACAAATATTGGTAGCCACCATAGCTACTAAAAAAGTAGTATTCAGCCTAACTTATTCCCTACACCCAAGTATCCAACGATATAAGTTCGTGTATGCAAGTCAAATCGTCAATATCAATGTCTTCACCATGACTGTATTTCTTCCTTTATTACCGAATTCTTGGGTTCTCCGAAGACATACAACTTCGTAATTATGATCCTTTTTTTTTAAACATAACTTTATAATTATGATCAATTGTTCTATTCCGGCCTGAATTCTATGCCATGGACTACAAGCCCGTGCTTGACCTGACCCGACTCCACTTCCTTGACCGAAACCTCAACTTCTTCACCGCCGGCCACCCCATTCTCAAACTCTCCCAGCTTCACCTCCCACCACGGGTCTCCCCTTTTCCTCGGCTGCACCACCCTCGGCCTCGCCACCCACCGGAGGACCATCCCCAGCACCCTGCTTCCGCCGCCGGCTGGGGGATTTCTCCTCGATCTCCCCCCAGCCCCAGCCGCCGCCGGATCCAGATTCGCGACTGATTCCTTGCCCGAGCCTTCATCGCCCACAAACCCAACCCCAACTTTCACGGGTTGCCCCGCTAACCCGATGTGCCCACCCATCAATTTGAACACTAGATAAGCCCCGTACGTGGTTCCCGGCGACAGCCTCCGGGTCTGGATCTTGGCCCGGATCTCCAACCACCACACAAGCTCAAGCGCCGCCACTTCCCCTCCGGCGAACCTCGAATCCGGGTCCGTCTCCCACCGCCAGTACGCGGGAGTGTCGCCCCATGTGATCGCCAGATCCCTGGCTCCCACCATCATCGATATCTTCCCCCTCCCTGCCTCCACCGCCCAACTCTGCAAATTGAAATTGAATTCTTCAAATTCGAACCCTAAAGAACAACCTAGACATGGATTGTAAGACTAATTTATCGAGATTGATTGTTGACGAGGGAAGTTTGGGTCATCGGGTATCTGACCTTTTTGCCCTGGTCGAGCAGAACTGGTTGCTGGCAGAGTCGGCGAAAGAGGTGCTGCTTGGAGGCGGAAGTCGAGAGAAGAGATGAATCTGAAGACTGGGAGATAATCGACCGGTAATCGAACGGAAGGAAGCTTTCCCAGAGAACGTCCGACTGGGAAGCTGAACTGAACGTTCTTGAGACGGAAGCTAACCTGCAGACCTGTTGGGGGCCGAGGTATGACATCACTTTAGCGATGCACTCTTCTGGCAATTCGTTCATTGTTTCCCGGCGGCGGCGGTGATTTCAATGGTAAAGGGCTAGAGGCAGTTCTTGTGATTCACTGATATTATATTCTGATGCATAGTTTAGTTTTTAACTTCTTATATACACCAACACGAGAGATAGAGCGGAAGAAGAAGACGATTAGCGTCGCCGTAACGCTCCCAAGTGTTTGATTTTGATGGGCCTGGGCCCAGTGGCGTGGGGGATCAGTTACGATTGCTAATACACCACCTGGCACGGTCCACAGATAAAATCCAATGGCCCTGCTCAGCTCCTCCAGTTCACCTATTCAAATCTTTGACGGTCTTGAAACAAATGGTCAAATGTAACCGAAAATCATAAGAGATTTCCACTCTTGGTGTTGGTGGTGCTTATGGCTTAAAGGGTTTTTTTATTACTTTTTTTTTTGTCATAAAAATCCTTGCGGATTAACAAGATAAGCACCAGAGTAGCCACAACAAATCGGCCCCTTCGTGGATCAGTCTTACAACAAATAGGAACAATTGAAAAGAATATTATGAATATGTTATATTTGATTTTACCGACATAGGATTATAGTTTCCAAAGTTATGGGTTGAGTTTTGATTCACATCATCACTAGTCATGGGCCAGGCCAGTTAGCCAGATACATTTCGTCAATTTCATAAACAACAATCATAATCAATATGCGAGATACGTGTGTCATAGACCTTACACATTAATTAGTTGTTATCGTGTTGAGGATATTAGTCAAAAATAATTAAATCCTTGTCCTCCAAGTCCATAGTTTCCTTGTCTTTGTCAAAGAAGGAAACTTGGTTGTCATTAGGGTTTTAACCCTAGTCTATCTCTATATAAGACTTAGCTACGAACCTATCGTAAGCAAGCCGTCACAAATGTAGTCCTCAAATAATAAAACGCCAATAGTGAGGTCTTCCGAGCTCACTGCGGATTAGTCTCGATCAATCAATCGATCGAGAATACCACGTAAAATTCGTTGTTTTGTGTTCTATTTCAATTTCGCGTTATCAATATCTTCATGGTATTAGAGCGAAACTCGATCCTTCTCTAGGGTTTTGAGCTTCCTCCTGTCAGCATTCGTTCCGCGGCAAAAACAACGTCATTAGTCCGACGTATCTTATGTGAGGGAAAGTCAGTAGCCGCAGATCCAGATATTTTAGCTCTCTGTCGTCTGCACAGATATCATTCCAGCCGAAGCCTATGATCTCCCTGCTCACGCTGCTCTTCTTCGTTACGTCGGCGCTGTCCGCCTCCGACGTCCCATTCAGTCCACAAGAAGACCAGCTTCAAAGGCTCGAATCCGGCGCCAAGCAACCTATCCGTTCACAGGCAATGGTGTTCCTCCGCTGGCGAGGTCATCAGTCCGACCTCTCTCGCCAGTCTCGTCGTCCTGTTGAGTAGAGCTACTCTTGCCTGCTTGTTCGTCTTCAGCTAACGTTTATGCAAAGTCCATGAATCAGGGTTTGAACCTTTGGCTTTGTGATTAATTGTGGCTTTCGTATAGAAAACCCTTAGAGGGTTAGGGTTCTAGGAAGAAGAAGAGAAATAAGGCGGTATGATTGGGGGAACCCGCAAAGAGGGCTCTTGCTACTGCTTCTCATTATATACTGATCAAGCAGGGTAAAACCAGAGTAAAGTTCTCAAACAGTAAAAATGGAAAATTATGTTATAACTGAAAATCAAAACACAGTAATAAAACGATGCCAGGTGTCTTCATTCGGTTGGCCTTCTTCAACTCCACCCAACGGTAAGTAGAACCTCCACACGTCGCTTTGGGTCTTCTCTCTGTCGTATGGAGTGTAAGGCAGAAACGTAGAAACGTTTCTGCCCTGTTGATTCTGCAACTCTGCTTCTTCTTCATTCCTCAGCTTCTTCTTCCTTGTTCAATACTCCCCCACAAGCTGGCGAGTAAGCGTTGAAGACTCCCAGCTTGTCCAGAAGGAACTTCAAACGATAACGACTCATACCTTTAGTAAATAGGTCTGCAACTTGGTCATCTGTTCTCACATGTTCCAGCTTGATCAAACCAGATTTGAGCCTCTCTCTAGTGACATGACAGTCAATCTCAATATGTTTGGTCTCATGGAAAATCGGATTTTCAGCTATATGTAAGGCTGACTTGTTATCACAGAACAAGGTAACTGGTAGAGGGACCTTCACTCCCATCTCCAGCAGCAAATTTCTAAGCCATTGAACTTCACAAACCACCTGAGCTAATGCCCTGTACACTACTTTTGATGAGGATCTTGAAACAGTCGTTTGCTTCTTTGTCTTCCAAGTGATAAGAGATGTCCCAAGGAAAATACAATATCCAGTTAATGATCTTCTGGAATCAGGGCAACTTGCCCAATCTGCATCACAAAATCCAGACAGTTCAAGTTTTGAATCAGCTCTAAACATCAAACCTTGACCTGGAGTGTGTTTGAGATATCTAATGACTCTGTGAGCATCCTGCAAATGTTCAACTCGTGGTGATGTTTGGTATTGTGCTAGCTGCTGTATTGCATAAGCAACATCAGGCCTGGTGATAGTCAAGTAATGAAGCCTTCCAATCAATCTTCTGTACACAATAGGATCTATTAGTTCTTCACCTTGGCTTGCTGTCAACTTTACATTACAGTCAACTGGAGATAAACAGCCTTTAGCATCAAGAAAGCATGTGTCTGTTAACAATTCCAAGCAATATTTCCTTTGACTGACTGATATTCCCTTATGATCTCTCATTACTTCCAATCCAAGGAAATAGCTCATCTTATCCAAATCCTTTACCTTAAACTCCTTACTCAGGAAGGTTTTTAACTACTCAATGTCTCCAAGGTAACTACCAGCAATCAAAATGTCATCAACATACACCAAAACAACAACCACTCTTCCTTGTATCCATCTAACAAACATGGAGTAGTCTGAAGCAGTTTGAGAAAACCCATTTTTCATCAGGGCACTAGTCAATTTTGCAAACCATTGCGTGCTGGCTTGTTTAAGACCATACAGGGATTTTTTAAGCTTGTAAACCAAACCTGAGTTCTTAGGAATGTCAACTCCAGGAGGTATATGAAGGTAGACTTCCTCATCTAAATCTCCATGCAGAAAAGCATTAGATACATCCATCTGATGTATATGCCAGTCCTTTGATGCTGCAACAGCTAGAAGGGTCTTTACTGAATTAATCTTTTCCACAGGAGAGTATGTGTTAAGGAAGTCTATCCCATATATCTGAGTGTAGCCTTTGGCTACCAACCTTGCTTTAAATCTCTCAATACTCCCATCTGCCTTGTATTTGATTTTAAACACCCATTTGGTTCCTACTGTTCTCTTCCCAGGTGGGAGCTTAACAACATCCCATGTTTGATTCTCTTCCAGTGCTGCTAATTCTTCTTTACAGGCTTGATTCCACCTTGGATCCTTGCAAGCTTCAGCATAGGAACTTGGTTTCTCATTTGCCATAATGCTCAAGGAAATCTTCTGTTGAGCAGGTGTAAGTTGCTCAAAAGTGTAGTAATGCCAAACATGATGCTTAGTGCAAGAAGCTGCAATGTTTACATGATAGTCCTTATGCCACACAGGTACAGACTTAGTTCTTTTGGATTTTCTGAGGAGTTCTGCTTCATCTGAGTCATGAGGATTAGGGAAGACCTCAATCTCAGCATCCTCCCCCACAGACTGCATACCAGACAACTCACCAGAGGGAGATAAAACAGGGCTAGGATGCAGTGAAGGAGAAGAAGAAGGAGATGATGAAGAAGAAGGAGTAGTAGTGGGCACAGGATCAGATGGTGAGATGGTGGGAGCAGTATGAGAAGAAGAAGAAGGACATGACGAGGATGAAAGTGAATTGGGAAGAGGAGAAAGAGTAGGAAAAATAGGATCTGTAATTGAGGGAGAAAGATTAGGAGAGGTAGGGTCTGGGATAGTGGAAGATTGCTTAGAGGCAAAAGGAAATTTGGTTTCATAGAAGGTGACATCTCGAGAAGTAAAGAATGTATGGGAATTTATGTAATATAATTTATATCCTTTGATTCCTGAGGGAAAACCAAGAAAGATGCACTGCCTAGCCCTGCTGTCAAACTTTGTTCTATCTCTGTGTAAAGTAGCAGCATAACACAAGCATCCAAACACCTTCAAACCAGCAAGACTTGGTGGCTTAGCATACAAGCATTCATAGGGAGATTTACCACCAAGTACTGGGGTAGGCAGTCTGTTAATCAGGTAGACAGCATGGAGTATACAATCACTCCAGAAACGAAGAGGAACACCAGACTGAAATCTAAGAGATCTGGCAACATTTAAGATATGTTGATGCTTCCTCTCTACCCTTGCATTATGTTCTGGAGTTTCCACACAGGATTGTTGGTGTTCAATCCCTTATTCAGCATAAAACTCAGCCATATGGAATTCATTCCCTTGATCACTTCTGATTATCTTAACAGATTTAGAGAACTGTCTAGAAACCATAACACAAAAGGCATGCAACAACTGGCTAGTTTCAGATTTAAACTTCATAAGATAGGTCCAAACACCTCTAGAGTAATCATCCACAATAGTAAGAAAGTAAGAATATCCCTCATGAGATTTAACAGCAAATGGACCCCAAATATCCACATGAATGAGTTCAAAGGCAGACTGGGCATGACTAGAACTAATTGGAAAAGAAAGCCTTTTATGTTTGGCAAAATGACATGTTTTACAATGTGAGACTGAACTCCTATTACAAGGTAAAAGCATGTTTTTCTCTTTGTTTGCTGGGATGTCCTAGCCTCCAGTGCCATAGCTCAATAGGTTGTGGGGTGAAGTTGTAGATGGTAGCAGCTTGTGGTAGGTTGTAAGAAGAAGGAAGAGGTGTCTTGGTGGTGATTTGATAGAGTCCTCTAATCTGTTTTGCCAAACCAGTCTTGGTCTGGGTCATGAGGTCCTGAATTTGGCAAAAATCAGATTCAAAATGAAGTGAGATGGGAAGGTCATTGGTCAGTTTACTGACTGAAACCAAGTTGAAAGTAAAACTAGGCACTAGGAGGACATTGTCTAGGATGATGCCTATAGGAAGTTTAACCTTCCCAATGTGACTAACTGCTACCTTAGCACTATTTGGCAAGAACACAAACTGGCCAAACACATGAGTTGATTCAATAAAGGAGTTCAGATTGCAAGCAATATGATTTGAAGCCCCAGTATCTAAGATCCAAATGTCCATGAGTGAACTGTCTTTATGCTGGAAGTAGGAGGACAAGATGAACTTACCAGCTTGATTTGGGAAATGTGGTATATGCTGTGCCATTGAGAAAGCAAGGTGGTTCACTGATGTTGAGGTAGGTGGACAAGGACTGGGAGAAGTAGAAAAAACTGATTGAAGCAGATATTTGAGCTTGTTCATCTCTTCTGAAGAAAGGCTAAAAGTGGATTTCCTTGTGTCAACACTGAGTTTGGTATCTGAACTACCTGTGTCACTGTTAGTTGAAGAGTCACTTTGAGACACTGCTGCTACCATATTTCCTCCATTCATCCTTGCCTTTTTGTTCTTCAGCCTATAACAATCTTCAATATTGTGATTCTCCTTCTTGCAGTATCTGCAGAACTTCTGCCCTTCTGGGTTAGCTGGAGATTTAGAATTGTTGGATTGACGGTGACCACCTTGAGCAGCCAAAGCAACTAATTGAACTCCTTTCGCAGCTCCACCTTTATCACCCTTAATCTATAGCTCATGCTGCAATAGGTCATTGACTGCATTGCCCACTGTTGGCAGTGGTTTCATCATCAGCAATTGGGTATGAACAATCTCATACTCAGGACGCAAACCCTTCAAAAACCTGATTAAATACTCAACTTCTTGCTTCTGCTTGAAAGCTTCTACTACAACACAGGGATGAGTCCGTTGAGCAACACAATCACACTCAACAATGGGGTTGAATTGAAGATTCTCTTCCCATAATCCTTTGAAAGCAGTATAGTACTGAGTGATGTTAAGAGAACCTTGTTTACAAGCTATGACCTGGTCCTGCAGGTTGGCTAGCTTAAGTGCATTAGTGACACCAAACCTGCGTTTCAGTTCATCCCAGAGAATCCTTGCATTTTCATGCTGCATAACACTACGTCTGATCTCCTTATCGAGAGAATTCATGATCCAACACAAAACCAACGTGTTGCAAGCATCCCATAAACCGAAATTAACATCACCCACAGCAGGAGCAGGAATTGAACCATCAATAAAACCGAGTTTGTGTGTTGGTTTTCAAAGCCATACGAACAGCTCTTTGCCACATCTGGTAATTAGCGCCATCCAGATTCTCAGAAACAATAGATTGAGAAATGTTCTCGTTTGGGTTAATATAAAAAGGGTTACCAAAGAGTAGATATGGTCGCCCATTTCCTCCATTGTTGGATCCACCAGTGCCGCTTGTTTGAGCATCAAAAGATCCGAAGGGAATGGCACCACTGTTGAGACCGCTACTTGGAGTTCGTGGGTTTGGTGGCGTGTTCGCCATCGCGGAAGGACGCTGGAACTTATTCCAGCTCTGATACCATATAGAAAACCCTTAGAGGGTTAGGGTTTTTAGGAAGAAGAAGAGGAATAAGGCGGTATGATTGGGGGAACCCGCAAAGAGGGCTCTTGCTACTGCTTCTCATTATATACTGATCAAGCAAGGTAAAACCAGAGTAAAGTTCTCAAACAGT